TATTTTACAAGCTTCCTGTAACATTTCTTGTACTTCAGATTACTACTAGGAACAAATTCACTCAGCTTTAATTTGTCTGAAAGTGTATTTTGCCTTCATTTTTAAAGAATGCTTTTGCTTCATATAGAATGTTTACAGTTTTTATTTTAATTTGAGCACTTTGATTCCATTCTGTATCTTGTGACCGTATTTCTCATGAGAGGTCACTGATAATTACTGTTACTTAGTATATACAGTCATCATTATTTGTGAGGGACTGGTTTCAGTGCCATCTACAAGTGCTGAAATCTTAGATGCTCAGACCCTTGAATAAAACAGCATAGTATTTGCATATAACGTATGTATATCCTTCCATACACTTTATCTCTAATTTACTTATAGTACCTAATATAGTGTAAATAATTCTTATACTCTACTGGGTAAGGAATCATGAGAAGAAAGTGCATATTCAGTAGAGATACAATTTCTTTCCTGAATATTTTTAATCTATTATTGGTTAAATCCACAGATGTAGAACCCACAGATACAGAGGGCTGAGTATACAGTATTTTGTTTTTTCACATTTTAAAGATTTTATCTTTTGTTTTTGACAGTTTTAATTATTGATGTATGTTGGTGTGCCTTTTTTGTATTTGTCCTGTTTGAAGTTGACCTATCATCCTTGAGTTTATAGGTTTCATTGAAATAAAAAATGATTAAACCATTAATTCTTCAAATATCATTTCTACTTCTTGGCCCCTGCCCTGTGATCCTAATTACAAGTGTGTTAGGAAACTTTAAGTTGTGCTCTAAAAGTCACTAAGATTCTGTTACGTCTTTCAGCACGTTCGTGATGGGGCAGTAATTCATATGTCTCACTGCCAGGCAGCTTGAACCACCAGTGGTATGTGCATGACTGTACCATTTGTATGATCAGTGGTACAAGTCTGTTGTACCACTGATGAGTCAATCTGGCAGAAACATGTTAAAGCTTTCCTTTTTTACTTTCTGTGCTTCAGTTTCTATTGCTGTGCCTTCAAATTCACTGATCTTTAATCTATTGTTTATGTCACTCATTCTTTTTTTTCTTTTTGACTCTAGAAATTCCTTTTATATCTTCAAAAGAATCTCTTTACTACCTTTCCTACGATATTTTGATATATTCAGAAGTACTTAATATTAAGTATATTCTGCAAATCACATTTGTTCAATTCAGTATCTCTTTGTATTACCTGCTTTTATTTCTGGTTGGGGATACTTTTCCTTGCTTCCTTTCATTGGATATTGTTAATATTTAATTGTTGAATGTGCTAGATTTTATTTTCTTTTTAAAATATTGAGCTTTGTTCTCATAGATAGTTGAGCCTGCCCCTTTGATCCTTTCAAGGCTTTTCTTACATTTGTTAGGAGACAGCTAGAGTAGCCACTAGGTGTCTAGGTATCATTTAACCCTACTACTAAGGCATGTCCCTCCTAAGGTTTTTGTTTTATTTTTGTATTTTGTATTTTATTTTATTTTTTTTGCACTTTTTAAAATTCTTTTATTGGTATATTGTAGGTATACAACACAATTACATTTCTCATTGGGAATTGTACCTTTACATAATGCATCTTGGTTCTTATTTTTTCCCCATTCCTAGCCCTCCCTTCACCCCCTCCACCCTTCCCTATTTACAAAGACTTTATTTCCATTTTTTCCATTTCTCATCATTTTTCCTTTCCCTTCTTTCCTTTCCCCTGCCCCTCCCACTACCCCTACCCCTTTGGACCTTTTCTTCCTATTTTGCATTATCGATTATTCATTCTAATCATTGGTACATTTTAGGTATACAATATAATGACATTCATCATTGGAAATTTGCACCTTTACATAGTCTCTCTTGGTTCTTATTTTTCACCCTTGCCCAGCCCTCCCTTCAACCCCTCCATTCCTCCCTATTTACAAAGATTTTGTTCCTATTTTTCCATTTTCTCATATTAATCCCACTCCCTTCTATCCTTTCCCCTAGCCCTCCCACCTCCTAAGGTCTCTATTGAATGCTTCTGGTGATCCATAAAGACCTTCTGCTCAAGCAGATTAGAGCTTGAAAGTCTCCCTGCCCTGTGTGAACTCTGGGAATTTAGCCTACAGCTTCCCAGTTGTTCTTGTCTCATCCAATGCATTAGCATTTACTGAAGCTTTACTTAGTAGTAAAGCTCCCTATTCATATTTCTGTTTTATATATACTTGAATTACTACCCTAGAACTTGTGAATGCCTTATTTTTTCTGAACTCTGTCCATTTCAATGAAACTGTCCTCCCCCTCCTTGTCAGGACTCCAGAATGGACATCAGTTGTTCAGTGTCTGAAAAGAGTGTTGTCAGATATTTTGTCAAATTTACTGATTATAGAAGAAGTTAAATACAGTTTCCTTAACTCCAGCATGACAAAGAAAGTTCTCTAGATTGCATTATACTTAGTCTACAGCTAAATTTGCCAACAGAGGATGAAAAATATCTCCAAAAATGATCTTTCAGATCTTTTACATTGAATATAGTTTACTTTTTCTATATTTGAAGAACATTTTGTTTATATAAATAGTTCAAAGTTACAAGAATAGAGAATATCTTGAATTATGTAATATCTTCCTGCCAAAAACGTCAGACTGCTACAAGTTAACATCTCACTTTTTCCGAACAATGTGGTACAGCCTGGCTTTTAACTGCCATACTTCAAATATAAAAATCACCTCAGTTGGGCTTTACTTTCATTTTCATATCAACTAAATTTGCTTTAGTGTACTGTTGTACTGTTTTCTTTCCCTTTATTTCCTGTCCCTTTCATTTCTTTTGATGTCTACCAGTGGCATTTTCTTCTTACTTCCAACCTACTTTACTCGTGACACATTCCCTGGGAGGAGGTTGGATGGTAGAATTTGCCTATAGGCTGTTCACTAAATAAAAATATTAAAATGTAATTTGGAATAATGCACATTAGACTGGCAGTTTTCCCAATCAGAGATAGTATTTGGATGGCTTAGAGCTGTAACTCAGTTGTAAAGTACTTGCCTGGCATACCTGAGGCCCTAGGTTCTATCCCCACAACCACACAAAAAAGAAAAGGAGAAATACTGACTTTAAGTGCAAGACTAGTTATAATCACATTAACAGCAATAATTACTAGTATTAAGTATGCTTGTGTATATCAACTGTGCATATCAACTGTTTTAAACACTTTAACTCTTAATCTCAGCAGTCATTTGAGCTATTAGTGTTATCCCCATTTTACTGATGAAAAGAGCGAGGTCAAGAGAGTTTATGACCTGCCATTAGTTCAGTAGTAGAACAAGAAATTGCATCCAGGCTGTCTGTCTCCAGGTCATACTGTTAAGCACTATGCTATATACCTGAACTATTTCTTACACTGCTTTTATCCAATCACATGTGCTATAACCCCTTCCTTTCCATTTTGAAATCCCAACTTCATCATTTCTTAACTGTATAATCTTTGGGGTTACTTAAAATTCAGTGATCCCCACCTAGAACATGAAAATTTCAATCACCTAGCACCTAGAAGTATGTCTAATACAAAGCATCATTAATAGTATTAGCTCATTACAATTTTGCAAATTTAAGTATGTCCACTGATACTTTGAGAATCCCAAATAAGTGTTCTTCTCATGTAGAGAAAAAAAAAATTGGGTCATAGAATATAGATACTGTTGTATTTAACCAAGTAACTTAGCTTATCTACTTACAATACAGTACCCGTGCTGTTCTAAACATATTTTTTATGAATTAAAATGGAGATGTCTCTGTTGCCAGATTTTACTGGCATCATCCTTATTTTAACTTGAATGCCTTCCAAAATTCATTTACAGACTTCCAGTTGATTACATCCAGCTTGTCCCCTCAATGTAAACAAAAAGAGTAAAAGGCTTTTGTTTTTTTGTTTTGTTTTTTTTGATACTGGGGATCAAACTCAGGACCTTGCACTTGGCGAGGCAGGCGCGGTGCCACTGAGCTAAATCCCTGGCTAAAAGGCATTTCTAAAGTGGACATTTTAGTTTTCATGCAATTTGTTCCCCATCAGGCCATCCTGTTTCTCACTGTGATGTAATCTGTAAAAATATAATTAAGATTGGGACCAGGGATATAGCTCAGTGGTTCCACTGCCTGCGTCACAAGCGGAAGGTCCTGAGTTCAATCCCTGGTACCAAAAAATAATACATATATATAGATAGATAGATAGATAGATATTTTAACTAAATGGTCAGTGCCACTCTGAAAAAGTTGTTCTTCTTCAGCCCACAGATTTCTACCAGTCCTTTGATGTAAGAGCTATAAACTTAAAAATTGTTGAAGAGGTAACTGGCCAAAAAACCCGTCTCACTCTCCCCATAAATAGACCAATGAAATCATTTCACAGGGAGATAGCTTTTCTTTCTGCTACAGTACCATTGAAATATAATTTAGAAATCTCAGCCAAAAATGCTAGGATTTGGGAAACAGTAAAGGTCACATGGGACCAGTATTTACCTGACAGATCACAGATAGATCTTTCAGAAGTACTACTAAGGCTTACACCAGAGGTACCTGAAGAGAATTAAACAATCAACTTAAATTAAGAAAAATCCAACCCTTTGGAGAATATCAGAATTTCACAAAAGTGCTGCTTTTTCTGAGTAAGCGATTGGAGATTAATGTCTTTGAAAAAGCTAATCTTAGGGTTTTTCTTGAAAGGTAAAATAAAGTCTGTTGGACAACTCTAGAAACTTTTAGTTGGGTAATAAAAAGATTAAAATATGAAACTTTTCGAACTATCTGAAAGCACAAAAAAGTGAAATAATCCCAAGATAGTCATAAATTGAACATTTGTTAAATTTTTGCAAAAAATATGGTATCTAAAAGTCTAAAGGTTCCCTTATGTTACTATCTTAGTAAATTCTTATGCTGACGTGTGCCTTTGGAAATTAGTTTTCCCGGAATTTGACTTATTTTGACAGTATGATTCTTGTACTTTTTAAAATTATTTCCTTCAGAAAATTACAGTGATGATTTTGAAGATGCAGAGGATGTTGATGTACCTTTGATTACTAAAGATGAAGAAGAAATTCATTCCAAAGAAAAGCCCAGATCAGAAATAAATATACCCAAACAGGTATAAATCGATTTTACATTTGAGAGTTTTGCAACTTTTTTCATCAGTTATAGTGTTTCCATCAGAAGAGCTTGAAATACAGAATTCATGTCTAGCTCATTGTTTTAAAAATAGGTTTCCTTACACTCAGTTAAACATTTTCTTAACTCAGGATGTTTAACATAAATCTTAAAGGAAAAATAACAATCAGTGATTTTATAAGATATCCTTTGCCAGGTGATTTCCTAAAATTCAGCTTTAGAAATGGGAAATAATTAAAATTTTAAAAGAAACTGGTATAATTAAACTTTTCTTTGGTAGGACTTGTTCTTGTGAAATATAATAAATTTCCCCTTTTTAGTATTTATGCTAGTGATTACATTGGTATCTGAAATTTAATTGGCTGAGATAACCAGTGACATTATTACATTTAGGTCTGATTTCTCTCATTTCTCAGTTCTTATTAAGACTTCTTAAGAGCTATTATTTATTTTGCTAGTGGGATATATTAAGAAAGTATGTACTGCACAAAAATGTACCACTCTAAATGTAGAAGCTTCAGAGAGAGCTGTTTGATAAGACCCTACACACTGCCTAGCCAAGTGAGGAATAAAGATGATACTATTCTAAGGCAATCTATATTGAAGAACATTTATCTGTTGGTGACTTCCCTTTCTGAAAATTACCTCTTTCAAAGTATAGATGAAACTGTGAGTACAGTGTACATGTAGTCGGTCATTAATTTTGAACAATATGGGAAAATTGATAGGTAATTTGTAATTGCAGAATCTCCTGTGAAGTGGCCCTGTTATCTTTTTTTTAAAATTTTATTGGTACATTTTAGGTATACAGTATAATGACATTCATCATTGGAAATTTGCACCTTTACATAATCTTGCTTGGTTCTTATTTTTCTCCCTTCCCCTGCCCTCCCTTCAACCCCTCCATCCCTCCCTATTTACAAAGACTTTGTTTCCTTTTTTTGTTTTCTCATATTAATTCCATTCCCTTCTTTCCTTTCCCCTACCCCTCCCACTTCCCCTTCCCCTTTGCCCCTTTTCTTCCTATTTTACATTTTCTATTATACCTTTTAGTCAGTGGTGAAGCAGTTGCCCTGTTATCTTGATGTACAAAATAACTGGAGAATTTTTTAAGCAAGATAATGAGTAGCTGGCACCTAGATATTTTAAGCAAGTCTTTTTAGACTAAATTAATTTTGATGATTGCCAAAGTTCAGTAGAAGCTCCTTGAGAGCTCTGGTCTCTCTGGGTGTGAAGAATATTGGTGAATGAGAGTAGTGAAGGAAACCTGGAAAGCACAGTTCCGGATCTTTGGAGAAAAGCACTGGTTTTCAAATTTGTTTCAAATTATGTAACTAAACATAGTTTTGGTTTCAAACATATAATTAATCATTTTTTCCTTTTTAGGCAGAAGAAAAAACTAACATGCTGGCTAATGGTAAATATTACATATTTTCATGATTTAGTTGGCAAAATATCTGTTTCATCTAAATAATTTTGAGTGAATCACTGTCCTTGTCTTTAAATCTCTCTAAGGAATTATAGTTCAGAACTTAGTGTGTCCCTTGTGCCCATCTTTAATTCATCCTGTTATATTTTACTATATTTCCTTTGTTATTTTTCTTAGCCCCTTTGCCATCCAAGTACACATGTATGTTAGACCTGTATATAATTATAGATATGTCATAGATACATTTGTTGGTGTTAGCCCAGTCTCTTGTACATAGAAAGGAAATCAGGTTTGTTGAATATATAAACTCATATGCATGTAACATACCACTTACATATAAAAACTCACTTTTATATATTATATATGAATAAAATAACTTCATTAGATCAAAAGAACCACAGATTTTTCTGCATTCCTTGTACTTTTTCTTTTATATTCTTCTAGTTGTGCTGCTTGATTCATTGGACTCCATTGAAGGTACCAATCTTGATGAACAAGATAAAGCAACAACTAAGCCAAAGGCCCTACCAGATATGACCGATAATGAAATGACAGGAACAGGTAAGGTTGTTTGAAAAATGGCTTATTCTTTAGTTATGGACTGCTTGAAGACTAATTGAATCTGTTTCTAGGGAAATACATAAAATTACTGCACTGACAATAAAAACTTAAAACTTGCGCCTTTCTACCACATATAAAAATTTGAATAATCTGAATTTGAGCTGGACATGGTGGCACATACCGGTAATTTCAGCACTCTGGGAGGCTGAGGTAGGAAGATCCAAGTTCAAGCTCAGCCTGGGCAACTTAGCAACTTAGTGAGACTGTGTCTCAAGGAGGGTGGGGTTGTAAGAAGACCCTGGGTTCAATCCTAGCACTGAAAAAAAAAAAAAATCATAATTTGGTGGCACCTGATGCTAATTAGTAGTCCAAGCCATGTGTGGTTTTTAAATAAATACTAGTAAATGAACAATGTTGCTGAAACAAAGTAGAGTATTGTAGATAGATATTAATTTGTCCTTCCAGAGAATTTAGTATATTTTGTCATATGTAGGAAAAATAATACTTTGGTTTTATTGTACTTTCTCACAGTTCCCCCTCTTTATGCCCCAGTGTTCTGAAATACTTGAGACTACCTAAGCCATTCTTAAAGCTTGTAATGCTTTTCACGCTTTTTAAAGCAAGCGGGACCCTTATATGTAATTGAATCTTACGTAGAACTCTATATTGATAATATTCTGTCAGCCACTATAAGTATATATTATCACACATTTGTAACATTTACCTATAATGTTAGTAAGAGCATTAGTCCCTTGAAAAATATGGTACATTCTCACGTCACCATTAGCTTTCCACTGTGTTTATTTTTTGTTGTGATTTATAAATTACTGATTTAGCACAAGCTGCAAATAGAGACTTTTGTTTTGTTTAGTTTTGTTTTTTGGCACCAGGAATCAAAGTCAGGACCTCACACTTGCCAGGCAGGTGCTATGCCTCTGAGCTAAATCCCCAGCCCAAATAGAAACTTTTAAAACTGCTTGCTTTGTAGTCTCAGGATGCTGGTCAACTGAACAGACCCACACACTTGAATAGAAAGACCAGTAGGCATCACTGATCAACTCTATACCTCAGCTTTTTTTAAAATTTTATTATTGAAGTATTGTATACCAATAGAAACCAATAGTTCATGGATACTGAAGCTTGATGAATTTTTAAATACTGAACAACCACTATAATCAGCAACCAGATCAAAAACCAAAAGAAGACCAAACTACAATCTCCTTTCAAATGTCTGATTTCTTATCACTGTGGTGGTCTCTTTGGATGTACAGTTTGTAGTAAGCACATGTGAATTCTTTTAAAAGACCAATGTAGAACTACAATTTTCCTAATCAGTAATGTATTAGAATATACATTAGTATATGTGGGTGGAATGGCCAGAGAAACCTTTAAGATGTGCATGAAAACAATTAAAGTTGTCCAAAAATATTACAATTGTGTAATGTCTTCAAAATACTAAAATTACAAAGTGGCACATTTGATTTTGTAGATAAGGTTATTTTACAGTTTTTAAGTTTTAAAGTATGATTTAAAATGGAATTTCAATCAAACATCTCTGGAACCCATAATTTTTTTCTGAAAAACTATAATTTTGTAAAACAGTAAGAAAACCGCTGCTGCAAGTTATAAGAAAAACTCAGAAATCAAAACTGTTACTGAAAGTAATTCTGAGATGATCCAAGCTACATGTGAAACTACAGTTTGGGGTGGGGGGAGGGGGGGTGGTTTTATTTCTTAAATACTCTTAACTCTGAAGTAATTTGATTAGTGAATTATTAGATGGTAATAAAGCATGAGTTTATTTTCAGATAGACCTGGAATCATACTTCCATCCTTACCACTTATCAGCTGTATGACATTGGACAACTAACGCCTCTAAACTTATTTCTTTAAAATGAGGCTTTATAATGGTCAGCTGAGATGATGTATAGTGCCTAGTACATTGTTAAGATTCAGTAAGGAGTAAGTAGAAACTGTATGGTGGTAGTTATCATTTCTAACCCTCTGTTAACAGTTCAAGCTATAATACCTGAAGACATATAGTATAAACATTTATTGGCTGTGAGATAAAAAATTTACCTAGTATTTCAAAAGTACACCTGTAAGACTTCAAGTGAGCATCTGAACTTGGTATAAGAACTGAAAAAGTTTAGTGGGTTTTATTTGTTTTGCTTTGCCATGTTTCTCCTAGTAATAAGCAGGCTGTTTAGGTAAAACATTGTCAAAGGTTATCTTTTGTTCATAATATCATTTTTGGAATTCTTTTGCTGCATTACATTAAAGAAGTTATTAAGTATAAATATGTGGTTTACTTAACACCAGGTGAAAGCTAGCTTTCACTTACTTTCATTTGTCTTCCAGGCAAGTACTCTTTTGTGGTATGGCTGCATGACTGAAGTAGTCACAGAGTGACTATTGCTTCATGAATCTTTTCCCTTTCCTTTGCAAAATAGGATTCAACACTTCTCAGCTTTCTAAAGTTGAAAAATATAAGGAGCTTTCAACTTAGTATAATAAATGAAACAATTACATAGCGTCCTCACTTAAATGTAAAAGGCAGGCAAGTAAGCCCTTTTTTTCATGAAATGCATGAGAAAAGTTAATTTACATGATTGTAGAATTATTCATAATATAGCTTCGGTTAATGACTAAAGTTATGAAAAACGTACATTTCTTCTCCCTGTTTTCTTAATAACCCTTGATACTTATCCCCAACTCTAATTTCTAACTTTTAGGTCATTTATAAAGCCTAGTGTCTCCTCTTTCTGACACCTTACACCTATAAATTAGGTATGAGCATTCAGTACTGCTCTACTGCTTACCACTGAAGTCATTTCTTTTAGGTATGCTCTGCAGATACTTAAGCTTCATGACATTTTTATAAAGGAAAGAAAACAGCTTGTGCCTTTCCTTTTTCATAATAATTCTCTCCTTTTGTCATGCTGCTCTGAATCTGGCTGGTAGTTAGGGGAAATAGTTAAGCCCACCTTAATAGGCACCTTTTTTTTCAAGTCCTCTTGGAAAGTTCCTGCCCCTTAACTGTTGGCAATTGTTTTCTAACAGTATGCTCCACTTTCTTGTTTTTACTCTGTTTAAGCATATTTGTTATTTATTGAGTGTACTCCAAATAGCCCTGGGTACCTGAAGCATTAGCTAGAAAGAAATGTATTGTAAGTCATTCTTACACACGCATTTTCACTGCTCAGCACCTCTTAGGTTTTGAGTTACATATATCCTCAGAGTTGTACACTATACAGTTTTTGGTGTATATAGAAGAAAATGAGGCTATATAGTCTATTTTATCTTTAAGCATTAGTTAACCGTAGTTATCAATAGTAGATTGATTGGTCACTGCTGTTTCTCTTCTTTTTTTACATTCTTCCATTATTCATTCTTTAATTTTGAAAATTCCACTGTTAGGAATAAAAGTTACAAAATGATTGAGAAAATACTGATAAATATCTGATGTTATTAATATCATTAGGAATTGTTTTCTCTGGAATTTATTTGTCTGCTGATGAGAGAAGGTTAATTGGGAAGGAAGAGTGAATGACAACATCATGATCTCTATTTTAGGTAACTGAGTAGTGATGCCATTAGCTAAAACACAAAATGCTGAGTAAATAGAACAAGTTTTGGTGGGGAATATAATGAATTTAGTTGGGAATATATTAGGTGTGATTTACTTCTAAGACAATCTAAATGTCTGTTTGAGACTTTGTTATTCATAAAAGAGATAAGGACAAAAATAACAGCTTGGGAATCATGAAAATATGAATACAGTGGTACCTTGGTTTATGAACTTAATTTGTTTTACTGTTTTAGGGAAGAAGCAAAATTTTGCTGAATGCTTTTGTTGGCAAACCAAATTGTTTACAAACAGAAGCATTCGTGAACCAAGGTATTACCGAAATAAAGTTTATGGGTTTGGATTAAATTAGCCAGGTTTAAAAAAATAAGAGGATTAAAAAAGAGGGCTAAATGCAGACCCCTGGGATAAGAGTATTGGCCATAAGAAATAGAGAAGCACCCATCACAGGCAAGAACAATAAGAAAAAGAATGGATGTAGAAGAAAAGTAGGAAAAAGATACCACATGTCTCACGGAATTGACAAGAACGAAACGTGGATTTAGTTATAAGAAATTGCTTCTGATTGCAGCAGCTTTAACAAGACACTGGAATACATCTCTGTCACAAAGTTAGAGGAGTGAGTTGCTGTTGAAAAAATGCACACTACAAGATGGTATAGGACAGCAAAGAGTGAAAGAAGGGAGTGGTAAGGGAAAGATAGAATTCTTCAAAGGACTGTGTTACTTTGGGTAGTCTAAGAGTAGTTTTATCCAATACAGAACAGTCAAGGATAATAGGACAGTAATTGGTAAGATTAGACTGTACAGTTACTGCATCGAGACCATCTCAACTTGCTAAATAGTTCTTGGGCCTGCTGTGATTTCACACTGGTAGGCTATAGCCATTAATTACCTAGGTTTCTACTTGACTCTGTTTATAATATTACCACTGTGCTAAATAGAGCCTTGTTTGTCAGTCCTAACAGATAAAGGGATGACATTAGGACATTATATTTCGCCTGTGTTTATAATGGGATTATACTAGGGATTATATTTATTTCAACAGGTATTTCTTATGGGCAAAGCAATAGTGACATTGAAGCCCTACATCAGGCATATTGTCGTGTAGCTCATTCTTTAGGAGATGCAGATGAACAAAGAGCTGAGAGTAACTCAGTGGAAATGATCAAGAGCTCAGTGAAAGATCATCCTCAAGAAAATGAGGAGTCTTCAAAACACATCTCTACTACTGAATCTGGTAAAAGCTGATAGATAAATAGAAATTTTCAACTATTTGAGATCTAAACAGTTTCCAGTGTTATAATTTAAATACATTTGCTGTGGTGATTATTTTTCAGCCTCTGCACTTAAAAAGGATTTGCTTCAAATGGAATGTTAGAGCTGAACATAGAATAAAATTCAATTCTTCTAATATACTTTGACCAAATTAATAAATCATATTAAGTTGACTTTTTTTACTCTCTGCACATACATATGTATTAAAGTATTTTAATAAAGGATAATGCTTTGACATCAGTTAAGGTACTCAACAAATGTGTGTATTGTATAAATGTAAATATTTGCTGTTGATATTTGAGATGTGTATTTGATGTTGATATTTGATTGTTTTGTTCTTGTTGTTTTGTTTTGTTTCGTTTTTTTGGTGTCAGGGATCGAACTCAGGACCTTGCGCTTACAAGGCAGGCCCAGTGTCACTGAGCTAAATCCTCGGCCAGATGTTAATATTTGATAAATATCAAAGGATGCCTTTTTGGTACAGACAGTTATATGATGGGAAGCCAGGTTTATTGTGCTTGCCATTCTGTTACTTTTGTCAATTAAAGAAAATGTTAATTCTAGCGATATTAAACACATAATTAAGCAATTTGCAAAACATTTTTGGCTTGTGCATTTAACTTTTTTTCCTCTTAGATCTGCCCACAGTGGAGGAGTTGATGAAACCTATCAGAATAGATTCCGTTGGAGTCAGTAGTTTTGATTTACAGCCTAAAAGGTATAAGTTTTTTGGGGGAGAGTATTGTGCAGGTTTAATTGGTTGATTGTAGGTTTTGTTTGCTTGTTTCTTTTATCATTGGAAACTTTTATAATCGTTTGTTCTGTGTAATTTGTATTGAATGATTAATAGTTAATATTAGCTTGTGTGCATCTACCTGTGAGTCACTAAATCTTCAAAATTCTTCTAGTGCTATTAAAAAAAAAAGATACTACTAAAAAATTTGCTGCCATTAATTAGGCCTAATGCTTTTCACTGAAAAATATCTCTTCAGCTTTGAATAGTTGATTCATAGAGAAGGGAAAAGTGTATTTTTTACTTTAAATGAATCATACATTTGCTCATAAGCCAGTTAGTTTGACTTAATCACAGGGTAAGTTCTGTGGTCACAAGAGAAACAAACTTTATAAAAATGCTCCCACTCCAATTCAGTTTAGTGGTAAGTGTATGTGATTCTGATGAGTAGCATATCACAGTAGCCCTGTCAGACAACTCTGCATTTATGTAGCACTTACAGTGTCACAGCCATGTCACATCCTGATTCTCACATGATCCTCATGACATGGAGGGCAGGCATTTTATCCTCATTATTAAAATGATGAATCTAGATTCAACCAAATTTAGTAGTGAATCTCACAAGAACCAGATGATGCTGATAAGTGCTCGCATTCATCACATTTACTTTGGACAGGTACTGTGCAAAGTTCTTTACATACATCGTTTCATTTAATTCTTAAACAACTCCATAAATGCAGTCCATTATTTCCTTGTTTAATAGACAAGAAAACTGAAGCTAAAGGTTAAAATAATTGTCCAAGATCATATGACTGTAACCAGGGAACACAGGCAGTCCATGTGCTTGAACACTTACCTTGTCAGAGCTTTGCTACCCATAAAATATTTGTTAGATAGCTTATTGTCCATTCATCTAGTCATTTGCTCACTTATGCTTTCAAGAGACACAGTTTGAGCAGCTTCTTGTCTTGATGTTCTCATTACATAAGTCCAGTTGCAGTGATTTTTTTTTTTTTTTTTGGCATTGTTTCCACATCTGTGTTAGCTGAGAGAAAAAGATAAGTTGACACCAAAACCCGTCTACTTGATGACTCCTAAGACTTGTATTCTTCCCTTGATCTATACATATTAAAGTATTTTAATAGAGAACATGATTTTGACATCAACTAAGTACATAGTGCTAGTTAGTTTTTTTCGTTGTTGTTGTTTGTTCTTTGTTTTTTGGCCCTGGGATCAAACTCGGGTCCTTGCGCTCTTGGGGCAGGCAATGGAACCACTGAACTAAATCCCCGGCCTGCTAGTTAGTATTTTTAAAGAGTAGATTGTGTGTGCTGGTCATTGTTGTTTTGGGGGTATGTTAATGTTATTGAAGGGACTGTCTTGTACATCTTGTGTTTTTGTTACAAGTGAAACCATTTTAATAATATAAATTCTAAATAGGTTTATATGTTTGTATTTAAAAGCTGGAAACAAGTATACAAGACAGACACAACAATAATTATAGAATGTCAGTAATAAAACCTTGAGTACACACATGCAAAAACCTGCCTTTGTAAGCTGTCAGATAAGTAATCCTAGCTGCTATAACAGATAATCCTTGATATTCTAGTAGCTAAATACCAAAAAAAAATTTCTTGCTTACATCACCATATGTACATCATTGGGATTAGGTTGAAGCTCCACTCCACACAGTTAGTGGGCCAGGCTAACCTGAGCATAAAGTGAGCAGCTTTCCTCCATAGACCCTTCCAGCATGCCTTCCTACCGTGGAGCTGGCCAACTCTGAATTAAAAACAGGAACCAAATAAACGTCTCCTTTAAGTTGTGGGTGTCTGGTATTTTTTCCCAGCAACAAGAAAGTGACTCAGACACTGTTCTCTTACCAGCCTGTAGTTTTAAGGTTGGCAAGGCATCATCCAAGCAGTCAAGAAGAAAAAGAATGGTTTTCTTTTAACCCACTTAACACAGAAGTGCCTCATCACATTGGCTGTCATTCTTTTGGTAAAAAATCAGTACATCTAGATAACCAGTCTTAGGAAGCTGGGAAATGTGGCTTGCTTGTGTCCCTAGAAAGAAAAGCAAATTAGTTTGGTAAGGATCTAGCCAGTATCTTCCTGAACATACCCTTGTAATAACCAGATATCCATTTCAGTCTTCTTTATATATAGTCTTTCCATACCATCCCCAAAGCAGATAGTCCAAAGACCCATTCAGGACTCTACCTGAATGCCCGGGGTTTCCAGTTGAAGTACTGTATAGTCCTCTTCTTCAGGTTTAAGTGTGGCCCATCTTTGCCTACCAGTAGATAAATAGAAAAGACAAGTTGTATTCTTACCCCACCCATATAATGATGGAACTGCAACAGATACTCCCGTTCTGAAAGGAAAAGTATGAGGAAAAAACAGCAGTTATTGTTGCAACTATGAAAACACTGGAAAGATCTTGGGAAGACCCTTATAATGGAGATGGAGATTTTCCTTGATTGGGCTATTATTCTACCCTTAAAGAGGAACTTTATAAATGCATTGCTCTTTGTGTAGCCCCCAGTTCCATTCCTTGACAATTTGTCTTGTATATTATCACCATCACAACAATCAAAGTGGATTTTGTGAAGAGGTTATGCCCATCTTTAGAGATATGCTGCTGTCCACTTTCTGCCTGTTGGTAGTTTTAAGGCTTTCATTTGATGGCTTTGAAAGTTCTTTTGTTTTCATATATGGTTGTGGGCCTTCAAAAAGTTGAGTAGCTTTCCAATTTGTTTGGTTCCAGTCAGTTCCTTGTACCAGTAACCAAACTTAAAAGTTATTTGCAAAAAAAAGTTATTTGCTAAGTAAAGGTTTTAAATCTGCAATGTATCTTTGGTTCTTGAACCTTGTAATTTTTCTCTGCATGTACTTAAAATTATCTGTACATTTTGGAGAACAGTAACCATAAGTGTGAAAAGGACACCTTTTGTGAAGGGACTGAGTCACTTTTCACCTGAGAAGCCTCATGGAATCTTATTTCTCATTTTTTCCATTCTGAGTCTTATTGTGTGGTTCTAGTCTAGACACAGAGAGTGAACCTGGTGAGCCCTGAGTTTCTAGACTTTTTGTTCCCTTCCAATTATACTTATAGAACAGCCATCCAATCTTGAGCTTTTTTTTTTTCTTTAATACTGAAAGCAGCCAGTGGTAGCCAGCACTAAAAAAATATCCATTCTTTTCAGCTCTTTTTCTTAGTACTCCAGGTTCAGTGGAAGGCTTTATAAGTTCTTACAATAGCTTAGTAAATGTTTTCACTGTAAAATGTCAATTGCCCTCTCTGGCTTCTGCTGTCAGTTTCCTGACACCCAAAACTTGACCACTGCTAGTTACAGGATTTTTGGGTTCCTGTCATCCTAACACTCAACATTTTAAAGGCAAGATGACCCCATCTACTGGAAAGGTGGCAAGGAAAGATAGTTTAGTTGATACCCAGCAAAGATGGGAAACTTTCTTGCATTTACCGGGCATTGAACCCAGGCCCTTCACCTGAGCTACATCCCCATCCCCTTTTTATTTTTTATTTGGAGATAGAGTCTCACTAATTCATTGAGTTGCACTGACTGGGCTTGGTCTTAAGATCCACCTGCCAGTCTCTGGGAGTCCTGGGATTATAGGCGTGCACCATCATGCCCAGCATCTAGCCAGGTTTTGAAATAATTGTTATATATTTCAGTGATTCCAACTACTTTATATATATCTAATGGTTACCGAGAACCCAATCTATGGAATATGAAAATGGAGCTTATTAAATAACTGTTCTTTAATCTTTATAAAGTATAAAATCAAATGACCTAATTGACCATGATTAAGTAAATTGCGAATAATAGTTTGCATATTTTTGGAGCCCCTGTAGTTTGCTTGTATTAACCAAATTCAGGGCATTTCATTGAGATATATTTTCTAGATTTTTCAGTACCTAATTTGTCTGAATTGTTTTATTTCATTTAAGTAGTTTAAACCATAAATGATTTATTTTAAAATCCTAATGATTTCTTTTTACTTTAAAAATTTTTTATACTGTGATTATATTGGTGGCTTTTAGTATTTAGACTCTTAAATACTATGATGATTGATTCTGAGTCTATAGCATAAATTATAATTACTTCTTTACTTTCTTACAGAATTGTGTAAGTTGCTTTTCCTGCTTCAAATCCAGGTTGACTTAAGAAAAAATGGATAAAAGATATATTTAAAAGGTTCATTTAGAAATTTGTTTTATTTTCTTACACAAAAGTAATTCTCAGTCTTATTTGGTTTGTCCTTGCTTTAAAGTTAGGTCTCAGTGTTATGTGTAGGTTATGCTGCATAATCCTTTATTAAACTGCATTAAAAATATCTGAAGTGGGCCGGGAATTTAGCTCAGTAGTTCTGCCACCTGCCTCGCAAGAGCAAGATCCTGGGTTCTTTCCCCTGTACCAAAAAAACACACACAAAAAAAGTCTGAAGTTAGTGGAGTGTTGTGGCACACACGCCTATAATCCCAGCATTTGGGAGGCTGAGGCAGCAGGGTCATCATGAGTTCAAGGCCAAGGTGTGCTACATAGTGAACATAAAGCCAGCCTGAACTAGAAAGCAAGACCCTATCTCAAAAGCACAATGGCAGCTTAGCTCAGTGGCACTATGCCTGCCTTGTAAGCACAAGGTCCTGAGTTTAATCCCTGGTACTGCCAACAACAACAAAAAAACACAATAGCCACAAAAAAATTTTATCTGAAATTAAAAGCAATTATATATACTGTCAGTATCTTGTATTAACCAGAATTGTAAGTGTATTTAACATTAGTAATTTAATTTGAATAGTTACAACTCAAATATGTATGTGTGTGTATTTAACTGATACTTGGGAACTCATACCAGTTTATTCTGTGTCCTGTTTTGTTTGATAGTGCTCCAAAAGAGGCTGATAGTAAAGACACTGTAAATGTTCGCTCTTTACCCCTTAAGATAAATGCAAATGTTATATGTCAAGACCCAAGAAATGTGAACCAACTTTTTGACAAAAATGATGAGAATGTGATTTTACAAAAGACAGCCAATAAGGATATGGAAAATAGCTGTCCAACAGTAACTGCTACAGAAGAACATATTGATAAAATGTACCTTGATATTTTGAGGAAAAAAATATCTGTTAATTCTTCAGTATTATCTGAGGATGACAGAATTAATCAAGTAAGTGCTTATACTCTAAATTGATTTGTTATATTGAAAAATAAAGTTATGTAAAGTACATAAGTACTATTAAAAAATATGTGCTTCTTAAGCCGGTAGGATTGGTTTACATAATTAAGCTCTATAGTAGATTCTGGATATTTGTGGATGATACTTTTAACCATACTGCCTAATCCCCAAATTCAGAAATAACACTGTAATACTAGCTTTCTTTTAGAAGCCATTGTTTGCATTTTTATTTCTTTTTCTTTCAGTAAACAGAATCCAGAATTTGTATAGTTTAAGAAAAGAAAGCTTAATCATCATTGTATTGCTTATTGTTCAGTCTTTCCAACAGTTTGCACTGTAGGTGAGTTGGCATTTTTATAGGAATGCCATTAGCAACCATGAAGAAATTTGTATTTCACCATTCCTTTTTCCCGAAAATTTTGTGTGTTTTCTGTTGTATAGTACCCGTGGTCCACTGTTGTTTTTAAATCATCTCTAGTTCTTTGTGGAATAAGGCAAGGTATTAATAAACATTTTAAAGAATCTTGAGAAGTCTAGAGAAAAGGATTTCAAATGTGATTTCAAAATATATTCCTTGATCTCTTCTATGTTCATTCTAATAATCACACATTTTTAGATTTTGGATAAGTTTATTTTGTTTTATTAATCTTTGTTACTGTCTTGTAATGTTAATTTTGAAAGTATGCTTCAAAATGCTAAAATTCTAATGAATTAGAGCAGTTTTGTTGTCTGCCTTTTGTGAACCACATTGTTTGATAATCACTATCATTTTACTGTATGATAAATCTTCATTTGAAATTCATAATGCTAAAGAGTTTGTTGCATACAGACTTTTTTTTTTTTTTCTTGTGTTGTGGTACAGGCTTTTAAATCTCAAGTCTCTTCTGGAGAAGAAGGGACTATAATTAGTAAACAGGCACCATACAGAAAGGCCAGAAGTGTACCACCTTTGTTTAAAAGAAAACCCCAGAGTGGATTATATGCATCAGTTAGGAGCTCAGGCTATGGTAAATGCAGTTCACCACCTAAGTTGTTCTCTACGCTTGAAAAGAAAACTTCAAAGGATATGAAAAGCAACAATTTGAGACCCATTCCTACCTCAAATCAAGCTAAGAAAAAAGGTAATGATATACTCTTTTTTTGGTACCGGTGATCAAACTCAGGACCTTGCACTTACGAGGCAGGCAGAACCACTGAGCTAAATCCCCGGCCCATGATATACTCTTTTCAAAACAGAATTCTGTGCATATAATATATTACTTTATTTTTTTCTTAATTTTGCGGAAGAGAATCATAAGAAACTACATTCCTTTCTGGAAGATGCAGTTTTTAATAGATAACAGGCTTGATCCAGGGAGGTAACAATGGAGGTGATAAAAAGTGGTTGGATGTGGTTATATTTAGAAGGTGAAACCAAAAATATGAAGAACTGGTTTGGTATTGCTAAAGTTTTTGACCCAAGCAACTAGAAGAATAGAATTACTGCACTCTGGAATGAGGGATGGAGTAGATTTTTAGCTGGAAGAAAGAGTAGGAGTTTAGTTTTTGAGATGATGTTGAGATTTGTATTTGACAAGGAGGCAGTTAGATTTAAGTTTGGAGTTTAAAAGGGATGTTTAGACTCCAGGTATAATTTGGGAGTTGTTAAAAACTAAGAGATGTTTTTTGAGCCATGAAACTCATTGAGAATACCAAAGAGTAAGGCCAGCTAGAGGGAAAAAGGCAAAGGAAAGCTGTAGGCCCAGACATGCTAACTTAAGGAGTCAGGCAGAAGAAGAAGAATGTATAAAAGAGACAGTAGTTGGGAAGAAACCTGACAGCATAGAGAATCCTAAAACCAGCTAAAGAAAAAGGATTTGCTCTTTTTCTTCTGACAGGTAAAGAAAGATGAGAACTGAAAACTGACCTTTGGTTTTAGCATTATCAGTAAAGCAGAAGTACAGTTTCCATGGAGTAGGGATATTGATGGTTCTCAAGTAATAGAATGCCCTAGAGCAGTAATGGTGAACCTGCACACTGTGGCACATGCGCCATCAGTTCACCACCACTGCCCTAGAGTAATGTTGCTGTAAAAAGGCAGCCAAAAACTGGGGCAGCAGCTGACTTGGGAAGTGGGGTGTTAAGAGAACCTTTGTGTTGTCAATGGCTTTCCTTTGTTTTTAGCAGAAGTGATAGTACGTTGATGGGCTATTAAAGATCCAGTAGAGAGGAAAAGAATTAACAGTGTAGTAAAGGGAAGAATTGCTGGGGCAATGTCCATGAATAGAAGAGGAAGGACTAGCATTAGATAGGAACATGTGTAGTTCTACATTTGGGGAGCTGTGGAGGCAGACAGGAAAGAATAGTATATGCTGGTAGATGGATAGATGTGGCAGGGAGAGAATATGGATGCTTGCTTCTGATTCAGTTTTCTCTGAGAAAGGGAAAGCAGTATCATTAGATGGAAGTGAGGATAGGGCAAAGGAATTCGAGGTTATGAGAGAGAAGAGAAAATGTAAAGCAGCCATCCAAGAGGTTCCTAAAACAGCAGGAAGTGGTTAAGTTTACTGCTAGTGTAAAGACCTATATTATACTGCTGCCAGTGGGAATGAGTAGCTCAGGTAGAGAGAAAGTCAAAGAACCAAAATCTAAGGGTTTGACAGGGTCACCTAATCATGTTTGATCATTAATCCTGGCTTGTTGACTTGATTGGGTTAAGAAATACCTAACAAGTTAGTGAAGCACACTTCTGAGTATACTTGATTGTGTCACAGGGGCATAATCTTGAGTACTGTATGTGGTTCCTGGTCCCTTCTTTGCCACTGTTTCCCTGTTCTGCTTCTCATCCCCCATGAACTAAGCCTCTTTGTTCTTCCATGCTCTTCCACCATGTTTCTGCATTGGAGCCAGCTTACCTGGACTGTAGGCTTGAACTCTAAATTAAACCCCCTCTCTCTTTTTGTTTTGGTACTGGGGATCGAACTCGGGACCTTGCGCTTGCGAGGCAGGTGGCAGAACCACTGAGCTAAATTCCCGGCCCCCCGTCTTTTAAATTATGAGTGTCGGGTGTTGTGTTACAGTGATCAGAAAGCTACTGATGTACCATGAATGAAAACAGAAACAATGTGACAGGGAGTGGAAAAGAAACAATGGGAATGATGTAGAGAATGATAAATGAAAGCAACAATATTTTTATTAGTAAAGTTAATATTCTTAAACTAATTTTTCCTTTTATTTCAAAATGTTACAGCAGTTGTGACTATAGAATTTTTAAAACCAACTTACTGAAATTTGTATTAAAGTGTTAACGGTGGACCATGACTTTATTATTATACTGAGCTACTTTTTTATTATACTATTAACTAGGATTTTTAATCTGGTTTTTTAATTGAATAATTGCCCACAGCAGTTTTAGTTTACTGAGAACTAATTCCTTTGAAATGGTTACTTGCCATAGGCTGGGTTCTCGAGGGAGCAGACACAGACAGAGATTAGTATACAAAAGTTCAGAGAATGTATTTGGGATCAACCTTAGAACAAGAAAGAAGTTACTGGGGTTTTTCATATAACAGCCTCCAGAGATAGGCAGTTTCAAAGCTGGTACAGCTGTGCAAGAAACCAGATTCCCGCTACTTTACTGATGCAAAATCTATAGTATGTGACTTCTATCTCAGTTCTCCAAACTCTGTCCATGAAGTAGGGTGAAAGGTAGATGATAGCCAAACCATCAGCTGCTTAGGAAGTACTGTAATCAGTTTTCTGGAAGCACCATGAAGGAAACTCTTGGTTCCATCCTGTTGACCAAACTTTGATCTTGCCAGCCCCCTTTGCATAGATATTGTAGAGTCAAATGTATTTAACAGCACATTGTCTTCCTGGACAAAAGTAGGTCTCTGTTTATAAGGGAGAGGCAAAGAATGGAGGACTTTCCATGTAACTGTTCTTTTCATTCTAGATTAATTTTCTTCAGCTCTAACTTCTGTGTTTCTATTTTTAGACTATTACACTTTATAAGTTCTTTTTTAAATAATAGATTTAGGTTTACTTAAATTTATAAGACAAAGAAATTTTATCTTAAACCTTTTTTTTTGGTACTGGGGATTGAACTCAGAACCTTGCACTTACAAGGCAGACGGCGGCACCACTGAGCTAAATCCCCATCCCTATCCTAAACTATTGTTAAGTCTCAGAAGATCCTTTTATGAAAATAGAGTGGAAACTACTCAAAGGTTGCAACAGCCATACTTTTTGTGTCCCAGCTACATTTTTCAACTTTCATCATTATCAATTCCTTCTCTTCTATGAAATATAAAGTAATATGTCCCCCACTCAGATGTCTGCAGTTTTGCTAATTTTACTTATTCAAAGTATATTTATTATATTCCCTCCTACAACAGTAACTCCCCTCATTCCTTGGTCATAGTAATTAATCTCCAATAATTTGGAAGGATTAAATTGCTGTCTACAGTGAATCATTTTAATGGTTTAAGAAATTTCTCCAGAAAACCCACACAAAACAGCCTAATTATGATCATGACTATATAAGGGAAAACCTTTGCATGCCTGTAAAAAAGATTGAAATAAAGATTTTTGGAAGACACAGTTGATAAATTGTTTCTTTTGACTTTTCTATATTTTGTGTACTTAATAACCAGGTATAACTTTCTTTTTAATTTGTTTTTCAGTACTGGAAATTGAACTCAGGGTGCACTGATGCTACATCTCCATCCCTTTTTTATTATTTTATTTTTTTGAGAAAGGATCTCACTAAGTTGCCCAGGCTGAATTTGAACTTATTGTTGTCCTGATTCAGCCTTCTAAGTAGCTGAGATTATAGGTGTCCACTACTACACCCACCATGTATAACATTTTAATGAAAAAGTAAATTCTGCATTTTGAAAGTTACCATCTTGAAGAAATTGTTTTAAAAATATAAAATTTGATCTCTAAGACAATCAGAACCTGTAATATTTGAATAAGGGCTTTAAAATCCCTTGTATATATTTCCCCAAGGCCTTATTAACTGAATAATAATTAATAAATAATAAATTAATAATATTTATTAATAATAATTAATAAATAACAAATAATTCTGACCTTAGAATTATTTCTACTCTTTATGGATTTATAAATTACCTGAAAAGTAGAAAATTGGACCAGAATGTACATTTATCACATTTTTTTCTAATTTAACATATATTGCCATTATATGATAATAGCATTATTAACCTCTTAAAGTCAAATTTAGGTTAGCTCTTATGAAGTCCTGTGTAATTCATATTATTCCACTATACTATGTATCTTATTATTTATGAAAGTATGCTTTGAAATCACACTTAATCTGAACTAAAATATTTCAATAAAGTTATCAGCTGCTTTTTGAGGTTTGATTCATCATTTATAAATTCTTATAATTGTGAACAGATAAGGAATAATTTGTTTCCAAGTAATTAAATAAACCCTGAAGTTACCCCAATTCAGTCTTCTCGCTTTTATTTGGCTCCATTTGTTATTTGATATGGGTCTTGAGTCGATTAGCCATCTGTGTCAAATTGAGTAGAATATTGATTATGGGTAGTAGTTCTTCTGATTGCAATTATAGTGAAACAGCTGTGTTGTAGTGTCCCTCAGCATTTTTAAGATCCTCATTTTGTGTTAGTATTCCTGTTATTTTATTACTTATTACATAATTGCTGAATACATAAATACTTTCATCCATTGTTTTTAATATTTAGAAATATTATCTGGAACAAAACTCATCAAGCCTGAACCTTTGAGTAAAGCAGCTCCCAAAAGTGAAAATTACCTGGCTACTCCTAAGAAGTCTGAAGATCCTATAGCAACTGATTCTTGTGTTCAATTTCAGACTGTAGGTATTAAATTTTACATTAATATTTATAAATTTTATGTTCTAAAATTATATTAAAACTAAATTATAAATATATGATCAATGCATGAATTAATGTGTGGAAAGATCATAAACCCCATTAATATGTAAAATTATGTATCAAAAGACAATTAATAAAATATAACAGATGTGAAATTTCTTTTCTTTCTGATAGAACATTATTAACCATGTCATTTTTATTCTTTATCTTTTTTTTTCCTAACACCTATATTTGAACTTTATATGAAAAATTACTATAATAAAATAATGCTTTTCTTTAAAAGGATTCTTCAGGATACAGTGGTGAGAACAAAGAGAAAGAGTTATTTATGCTTAAAAGGGCTCAAGAAGCAGAAGAAAAATGGAGGGGTGCAGAAGCCCTAATCGAGCAAATTAAAGTCACATTCTCGGAAAAAGAGAAAGAACTAGAAAATAAATTGGAGGAACTAAAGCGACAACAGGAAAAAGAACTGTTCAAGTTAAGTCAAGAAAATTATATTCTTCAAACCAAGGTACTAAATACATCGTTCTGTTTTTCCTTTTATTTAAAAAAAAAAAACCTAGAAGAACAACAGTAACAAAACCCCTTTACTCCCTGCTAATACCATTGTCATCCTTATTTCTTGGAGTTGACTGACCTATTTGCTGTATAAAATATGGGCATGGTTCTGGAGAATAACTTCTTGCAGAGAGTAAATTGAAGCTCTGGAGTGAAAATCTAAACTTAAATTGGTTGATGATTTCTGTTAGCAGTCCTTTTTAAATTAGATTCAGTAAGAACTGCTATATAGAAGGTCTAGACTCAGTGAATATCACTAACATGTGAGTTCATGTACTCACCAGAGCCATCAAAACAAAAGTCATTGTACCTAACTATAGTTACATCAAATTCCAGTATTATATTATAAAATAGTTTGGGTCTCACCATTTGAGTTTTCTATTACTCTTTCTTTGTCTCACTTCATCATTTCCTTCCCCGAATGACCGATTTCTGCCTTTTCTTAAAGTTAACTAGCTTTGAAGAAACAAACAGAAAACAAAGGTGGTTACATTTTGGAGAAACAGCTGATCCTGTCACTGGAGAAAAGTTGAAGCAAATCCAAAAGGAAATACAGGAACAAGAAACACTTCTTCAAGGTTATCAACAGGTGTGGCATTTCTTCCACCCGTGGCAAATTTGCTTTTGATTCTTTAATTATAAAATTAAGGACTATTAAAATATTCTGTGTAGATGTGAGACCGTAATAGTTTGACTGGTCTGCACATTTCTCATTGGCAGATTAAAGAGCATGGGTTCTGGATTCAGAAATCCTGGTTTTGAGTCTTAGCTCTACCACCTGCTGTGCAGTAATGGGCAAATGACTTCACCTCTCAAAGCAAGTGTCTTCATCATGAGATGGGGATAATAATAATAGTGCCTCTCAAAAGGTGAAGGTGAAATCAGAATACAGCAGTGCAGACCAGCTTCTTAGCAAGTACTGTACAGTCTTATCCTGGCACACAGTTACCAGTTAAGAAATGACGCCTGTTATGAATTTAATAGTTACAGTCCTTGGAAACTATCCTGTTTTTCTTTAGTTTTCTGTGATGCTCTATAGTAGATAGTATTGGCTAGTTTTGCTATTATATTCAGAAATGTGAATCTGAAATCAATTGCTAACTCCATGAAAATGAACAATTTTTAATTTAAAGTGTGATGTATTTACAGTCAGATGTTTATCATGTGTGATGCTTTATCATCATAGTGATGCTTATCTGACAGACAGGATGGGTTTAATAATCTTCATCATATTATCTTCATTCCTTGCCTCCCACACCCTCTTTTTTTTCTTTTTCCTCTTCTTTTCTCTTCTCTCATTATGTTCTTCTCTTTTGACAACTTTAGTCTGAGCCTTGAGCCTTTGTTAGCTGAGGACATTCAGATAAAGCATTTGCCACCCCAATGATTGCATCATTTGCTCTAAATGAAATAGCCTGATTTTGCAGAACATACTGCCCTCAAATTAGAACTATTCTCACTCTTTATCTGCTATCTGGTCTTGACCTGTGAAGCAGGAGTTTTTAAGATTTCATAGGCCCATAAATATGCCAACCCCTCTTGTAAAGATAATACAAAAGTTGTGTACCTAGGTATGTGGGGTGATCATTAATTCTGTATGTGCTGTATTTAAGTGCCATCTACCAGGCACCATTCCAGCCATGGTGAGATAATCCACTTTTCATTAGCTCCTCAAAAGCCCTTGATTTTCATCAGATTCTTAATTTTAAAAGGGGTTAATAAGCAAAGCATCTGAACACAAATTAGTACTTTCTCTTCTCCTTTGGTCTTAGCTAGATTTAGTCTCTCAAGCCCTGAGATAAACTGGGTCTGTGCTCTGCCTTGTCTAACAACTTATATAGACATTGAGTGTTTAACTCCTTGCTTATAGTCAGTTTCATATACAACCATGAATACCATGCTAAATCCTGTCATCCCACTCCTAAGGCCTAGTTTCCAGAATTTCCTCCAGTAGTGATTTTTTTTCACTTTCAGGTCAGAACAAAAGAGGGTAGAGAGTCCCACTGGGCACTCCCACCGCTGGCCCAGATAGTTGAAATGTGGTGATTTCTTCAGCCCCTTTCCCTCTGAAACACAGTATCTTAAACTGACATTAGGCCCTTTGGCTTTGGAAATGTTTGCAACTTCTTTTTCACCTGAACATTTTAAGCAATTTTGAAAAAAAAAAAATTGTTTTTAGTTACAAAGTTTTCTTCTATGATGATATAAAAAATTTGAAAATGGTTTTGCATACTAAAAAAATAAAGAAATTTAAAAGATCTTTAAAATATTTAAAAGATAAGTCTCTTGCAAGCATGTTATATCAGTGCTACTGACTTTTAATTGAAATACAATTTTGTGTTTTTAAAAAGGAAAATGAAAAATTATATAATCAAGTAAAAGATCTCCAAGAACAGAACAAGAAAAATGAAGAGCGAATGTTTAAAGAAAACCAGAATTTATTCAGTGAATTGGCTTCCTTAAAGTAAGTCCTTTTGAAATTCTTACAATCAGAAATACTTGGAATATTTCTAAGCATTTTATCATTACACTGAAACATTTATTTTTACTTAGAAATTTTTTTTTACATTCATTTTCATTTGTACAGTGATTTCCAGCTTAGTAACTTACTTAATATTTAGTGGGTTTTTCTTTTGTTATTGGATGACTAGTACATGCTTTAGTATTTTCAGCACATTCATATTTGAGTTTGCTTTTGGTTTCAGGACACTGAGTATATACTGTTTCTCTTGATACCTTATATCCTGTTAACCTCCAGGTTAGGGATTGCTGTTTGACTAGAGCATTTCTCCAGAAAAGGAAACATTTGTGAGTAGTATCAACCAACACTCACCACAGGGCACGAGGGAGGACCATCACCTACTCATATTCCAGACTATCAGGTCTTTGGGATGTTACTACCTGTGTTCTAAAAAGAACTACTCCAGCATCCAAAACTAATGTTTATGATGAAATAAATATTTTCTTTAATATAGTAGGTCTAGATGATCTTGGGTATACCTAAACTTTTTGTATATTGTCTCTTGGGGAAAAAAATTGAAAAGGAGAGTTTGGTTTTGCTAGTTTCCATGCATAAAATTGGCAGTTTGAGTTTCCCAAGCATGTAGATTTGAAATAAGAAATATTTTACTACCACAAAAAAAATCAGCCAGCACATTTTTCTGCACCGTTGATTTTTTTTCTCTGAGAATGGGAGGAATTATATGTATATTACAAATAAACCAGTAACCTTAGGATTTCAATTCTTTTAGATTACATATAAACATTTCCTTTAAAGTATACTTCTTTTATTACAATAGTATTTTAATCTTTAGGATAAAGATTCTGTCTTCAGTGATTCATATAGTTCGATGTTTATTAGTCTTGTTAAGAATATTTTATATTGAAAGGAATATCTAGTAAAAGTATCCTTTTATTTTCAAAATAATCAGAGAACAAATGCACAAAAGTCGTTTCCTATCTCAAGTAGTTGAAGATTCAGAGCCTAACAAAAACCAGAGCTTTACAGATCTGTTAGCAGAACTACGGGTGGCACAGGTAAGTTGCATAAGGATTGTAATTATTAGAGAAAATAAAGATTGTTATAAAAATCTCCATAAATGTAAAAATCTGTTTTTGTAATACATGTATGAGTAAGCTCTGTTTTTAAATTTCATACCATTTAAAAACTAAGAAGAAATATCTAAGATTAGCATTTGGTGTACATTTGACCTTAATATAGTGAAAATGATGTCATACTGGTTTGAGATGGTATCCTATGTCAGATTCAACAGGCATTTATCACGTGGACCCCTGACAAAAGTTTAACTTTTTTTTTGGTACCGGGTATCAAACTCGGGACCTTGCGCTTGCGAGGCAGGCGCCAGAACCACTGAGCTAAATCCCTGGCCCAAGTTTAACTTCTTTAGGACATGTATGTAAATTTTACATTGGAAAGCATACAGTATGCAGCTAAATAGGAAAATAATTTGAAGGTAATTGTTCACCTTAAAAAATTACTAGGCGTGGTCCGCTTGGTCACTGGAACAGTGAAGAGGAGAAAAGGAGGGTAAGGGCTCTTTGTTAGTTTCTGTATCTGGAAGATGGTTTTAGATTACAACCACAGCTCTTTCTATATGTGCGTTTTTGGTAAAGTACTTGGGCTTATTGTGCACAAAGTTCATACTCCATTGTATAACATCTATACTTTATAGATGTCTTAAGGTGACAGTGCATAGTAGATAAAAACTAGAGCTAGTGAGTTAGCCAGCTTGTAAATGCTTTTGTGTTATAAGTAATAGAGAAGGTGTATCTTGGTATTGTTGTACCACCCCTGGGCAGTATGTATTGGAACCTATTATTACACTGGCAGCAGAAGGATGGAAGGAAGCAAACAGGAGAGACATGTACATTTTGTTCAGATTTACATTTTTCTGAGAGACATTTTGATGTGTTTGCACCTTCTGGGTGAACTGTAGAAATATATTAGTAATTCAGTGGGAACATACCTTCTTGCTAATATTTTAATAATGATTAGATAACTCTTAAAAACATGCTTGGTATAATCTGTTGCTTTATTTCTCATTTTAAATTAAGCTATAAGGAAATTAGTAGTTTAATTGTAACTCTACCAATTCTGTAGGTCCATTACCATTTTTGTCCTCAGTGAAATTTTTATCCCAAAAAAACCAGGATTACAGTTTTTTCTAACAGACTGAATTGGTGCAGTATATTCTGATTATCAGACTCTTGTAGCTTTGGGATTTTGAATTGTTGAATATTCATGATGTGTGGGAAATCATAACACACTGAATGATCTCAGCCACAGAAAATAGCAGATTGTGCATTTACATGTAGGACCTAGCAGGACACTTCCAGCTAAGGTGATTATGACTCCAAATGACTTTATTCTTTGCTTCCTGTGCTTTTGTTTCCTGTAATGCACATATTAACTTTTAAAATAAAGATTATTTTTAAACAAAATATTAATTGGCTATTTACTTATCTCCCGAAGTAGACAGTATACTTCTATACAGCAGAGATTACAAATATCTTACAGATACTTGTGTCCCAGATAGCTACTAAAGCTGAAATGCAGTGTTTCTCCATTTCAAATTGTATGATAAAGAACATAGCCTACAGCTTTCTAAAGCAGTATTTATCAGTGGGAGGAGGTTTGGAATTTTGAGCAAGTTAATTCTGTTTTAAGCAGATGTGTTTTATACATTACATGATTTTTATATTTTTGTTCCCCAGTACTATATGCTCATATCACCCACCAGACATTGTAACAGTCAAAACCACTCTGCCACAGATGCATGTGGGTATGTATATGTAGAATTAGACATATAGGTAGGCAGATAGGTGGAAAGAATGGTTGGATAGCTCCCTCCTTATCAGTGGACCTCAAAAATGAGCAAGTTAAATTAATTTCGCCGTATTTTATGAAAGCTTGAAAGAATAAAGTTTCAAGCATAACATATAACATTAGCTTCATTGAAGTTGTTAGTGACCTTTTAAAAGTTATATTTTTAGACCGGGGATTTAGCTCAGTGGTTCTGCTGCCTGCCTCGCAAGCACAAGGTCCCAAATTTGATCCCTGGCAACAAAAAAAGTAAAAGTTCTATTTTTATGACATAGAAAATTTGGAAACTTTCACTAATAACACCAAAAAGCACTATATAAACTATAAGAAACATCTTTTGATGATTAAATTTATTTAGGATTTGCAGAGCATTACAGTGCATATTATGTATGCTAGTAAACAATGTACATAATTCAGAGAGGCCGAGGCTAGGGGAAGTTTTTAAAATCACAAAGGGAGAAATCTAAGAAAGTCACTTGGATGCAAAGTTCATTGGTCTTACAGACCAGAGGCAGAATTTGGCTTCAGCTCACTGGTGGAGATGCCATTGCTGGGCAGATGTTCTACTCAGAGAACCTTATCTGGATTGTTGAAGTGTTTAAAAAATGTTAAATATAAACTTTATTACAGACATGTGTGAATATGTGTCAGGCTTACAGAAGCATGAGGCATACATACAAAGTGAAAGAATTTCTTATTGGTTGTTTAGAAAGTCCTTGCAAATAGTACTTAATTCAGACAGGCAGGCATGAACCCTCCTTCTGCATGTATAGTAGTTGTCAGTCATGGTAAAGCCGGAGTTATTCTAAAAGTCATTGTAAGGACTGGCTTAACTCAGAAGAGCCACCAGAGAGTTTCACACGGAGGGGTGATGTTAACTGACTGCAACAATTCCTCTGACTGCTGTGAAGAAAATAGACTGTAGGGGCTGAGGATGAAAGAGGCAGACTAGCTAGGAGATTACTACAGCAATCCAGGCAAGAAAATTAGTACCAGTATCGTTAATAAAGAGAAGATAGAACAATAGATTTAGTAAGTCTATAATAGCTATGTTGAGATGTTTAGAACTAATTCTAATAGGCTATGGGGACCTATTGCTTCTCAGCCTTTTGGCTAAGATCAAGAGTAGGCTATGGGGAGCTACTAATGATCAGGAATGGGGCACATAGTAGTCATAAAATTAGGTCTAAAATATAGGAAAATATTTTACAACGGTATTTTTGATAGATTGAGTGGAGAGACTGTCGTAGTTTATTGTGTTGGAAAGTCACTTGTCTTTGTATTTCTTTGACTATCAAGAAAGAAAAAAGCAGTTTGTTGGAAGACATCAAAAGACTGAAGCAAGACAAACAAGCTCTTGAAGTAGACTTGGAAAAAATGAAAAAAGAGCGAGACCAAGCCAAAGATCAAATTGCTTATGCCACAGGTAAAACATTGAGCTGAAAACATCTTTTATACTTATACTCACAATCTTTTACGCTTATCCTCTTATATGTAAACTCTTTATACTCAGAACTGTTCTAATTTTGAATTTAAGTAATGAAAACCGAATGACATAATTAAAATTCTGTTCCTTGAAGTGTGCTGTGATTTTAAAAGATGTGTACCTTTATTGGTTTAAAGGAATGCTTGCAAGATTGAAAAAAATCAAAGATTATTTTGAATTTATGGCATTTTATGTTTAGTTGCATATATATCTGTCGTCCTAGCTAGACTGTGAACTTCCTTAGGGTAAAGTCTTTTTATCCCTGGATCTCAAACATGGGTTGTTAAGTAAATGAACAAGTAGTACTACACTGTATTTTACTGAGAATGTAAAGATAAATCTGACATGGTCCCTGCCAGGAAAAACAAAAGGGAGTAAGATAAGAATGCAGAAAACTTGAAAAATTACAAATAAACATGAGAGGACAGGAGATGGATGCTAAAAGTTTCAGAAAAGAGGGGCATTCAAGCTGGGCTTTAACAGTAAGATTTTAAAGTAAAGGAATAGGGGAGGCTGCTCACGTATGTCCCATGAGCACACCATTCAGTGCACTTGTAGGTTGCAGTTTAGGATGACAGAACACAGGGCTAGGAAGATCAGAGAAGCCCTGTTGGCCAAAGCTGGGACCTTTCCTGTACAGTATAATCAGCCTCAGTAAGATAGGAACAGAACATTTTGTTCCTAACCATTTGTTTGAAGAAAAAAAAAAAAGCCATTTGCTTTCTTCATCTGTGAAATAGAATGATAATTTTTAAAAAGAAACGTTTTCCTCACAAACACAAGGTCCCAAGTTCAATCCCTGGTACCAAAAAAAAAAGAAACTTTTTAAGAAGTGTTAAAACTGTAAGTTTGTTGTGGTAAAAAAAAAAAAGCACTCATGAATCTCTGCCATTTTTTTCAATATAATTGTAGGCAGTCTTCATTTTATTATCTCTGAATTCATTTATTTTCCCATGGAAACAACTTCAATTTTATAATGAATGTGAGTGGGAAAACAATTACCAAAAATTTCTAGAAAGCCAACTTTGCTATGTTCACTGGTTCATTATTTTGATTATGAATATAATCTCTCATTCTCGTAGATTAGACACTATATTATGTATCAGTTGTTTTATGCCTTTATTTCTTCATAAAGTAGACACTGAGGGCTGGGCCTTTGGCTCAACAGCTGGGTGCCTGCCTGGCAAGCGCTAGGTCCTGAGTTTGATCCCCGCTACCAAAAAAAAAAGTATACATTGATTATTATTCAAAATTTATTTTATTTCTGTATTTTGAAAAATTACAGTCAGATTAGTGTGTTACTTTATCATACAGGTGAAAAGTTATATGAAATAAAAATTTTGGAAGAAACACATAAACAAGAAATCAGTCACCTGCAGAAGAGATTACAGTGGTATGCTGAAAATCAGGAACTTCTGGATAAAGATGCAATTCGGCTTAAAGAAGCAAGTGAAGAAATTGTGAAGTTGAAAGTCGAGGTAACATCATTTCAGAATGTATTTCTGTAGATGAACCCTGTTGTCGTCATTATCAGTTCTGCATAATCTTGTATCATGGTACCATTACTCTAAAGTCTCTTAGTTTAAATAGCTGGTTTGGGTTTTCCTTGGTATTTAGATATGTATTATACTTGAGATTAGACTGAGAATAATACAAGCTCTATCAAAACCTGTCAGGTCTGCATATAGTCTGAACCTTGCCTGCTTCCTCAGCCTCATCTGGAACTACACTGTCCTGGGTTACTCTTCTCTAGTCATATCAGAGCACCTCAGATTTTTATCCTGCCAGGCTCATTCCACTTGTTGCGCTGGTGGGGAATACTCTGACCTTGGTTCTTCCCATAACTCGCCTCTTATTGAACAGCTCAACTTGTTCAAGCCTCAGCTCAGAGACTTTTCCTGAATCACTTCTGATGTAGCTGCCACTCCTGCCCTTACTAACTTTTTATTCCTGTTCTTTCACTCTGTTCTGTTTTCTTCATGACACTTGTCACTCTCAAGTAATTTAATGCATTTATTGATATACTTTATGAGCTCACCAGCCATCTCCATGACAGCGTACACACCATGAGGTCAGGAACCTACTTTTTCTTGCTCACTCTCCTTATCTCTAGCAGTTTTGTGCTGTACTGTGGAAGTGCCTGAAACTAGGGAAGAGCTCAGTCAGTGTTTGTTGAGAAATTAACAAATCAGTAAATACACTTACTTCTACCCTGGATCTTTTCTTTTATGTTTTAAATATGCTTCTTAATGTCTTTATTTGTTGGCAGATTGAGAAACTGAAAGCACAGTCTCGGAATCCATCTGCTGAGCAGAAGTTACGGTCAAAAGATAGAGCAACTGATGCCAAAAAAATTCAGGATCTAGAGCGACAAGTATGTGTTACGGGTAAATTTTTATTAAAGTATTTTTTATATGGTGTGTTTTTATTTCAAGGGTTCCCACAAGATGTAGTTAACCTGGAAAATGCTCTTTTTACAGTAAAGTTAATAAAAGTAATAAGCAACTTTTATATAATCTATAACTATAAAAAAATTTTTAGACCATGCCTCTTACTAATACCATTTTATTAAATATAGTAGAACTATTGATGAAAGGTGTTTTGCATCCCATCTCTATTAGACATTTAGGAAGAAGGAAACAAAGTTTTGAAGCTCTGCATAGAGAGTTAGGATTTCTTTTTCTAAGCCAGGCACAGTGGCATATAGTATCTTTAGTCCCAGTTACTTAGGAAGCTGAGATAGCAGTATCTTTTGACCCCATGAGTTCAGGGCCAGCCTTGGCAACATAGTATGACCTCATCCCCCCCAAAAAATAAAAGAGTACTAACCAAAGATAAGTGAGAAAAGAGTGCAGGAAGAAAGATCTTTGAGTTGGGAACATGTTGGTAATCGTTGGGAAATGTTAGAAATACTCTAAAAATAGAACATTTAGCCTCCCCAAAAGCTGGTCATCATCTTGAACTCTTTCTCATCGTTTAGGGTTAGAAATACTCATTCATGGCCAGTGTGGCTGGGAGACTCTTAATTAAAATCATGTAGTGACGGTTATTAGAATAAAATAAAGTATTTGGGGAGAAGCAGAATTAGAATTATTTTTTCTTTATTTTAGAATATTCTATAATGCACCATTCATATTTATTACTGAATATTAAAACAGAAAAAGAATTTCCAATAGTGTTTGTAAGGGAGCATAATTCTATACTCAAGTCATAATACTTAAATGTATGGCTATTATTCCATCACAGTTCGAAAATTCGGAGGTCATCCCTGGACTGAATATTATTCTAGTTTTATGAGGAGGAGGGAAACTAAGCAAAAAATTAACTGTTACTTTTACAGGACAGTGGTTTGGGTCAGAGGCTGAGAAAATAATAGGATAAAAGTGGTTTGAAGAACTAGAAATATTCTAAAGTGAGTGTAATCCAGGATTTTGCTTAGATTTTCGTCAGTGCTTAGATTTACATTACCCAATGTGGAAGCCATCAGAATTGTGAAAGAAAAAAAGACCAAAGAAACTGTTTCTCCAATGGATGACTTTTTAAAAGAAAAGTGTAGAATTGAATGTATGAGAGCAAAGAAATAAAGCGTGCTTAAGATGAAATTAAAGAGTTCAAATAGTGATCCATATTGACCAGAAATACATTTTATAAAATTAATATCTCTTTTACTTTTATTAAGTGTTTATTGATTTTTATCACATTAGATTATATCTTTTATAATATAGTAATCATTCAGTAATACTTTGTGTACTTGGATCACTGCATGTACATTTCAGATCTTAATTATTTTTTCCACAAGAATTCATATCCTAATGACTTTAGACTTGAATGTATATTTTATAATCAAGATACAGAATGGCGTAGTCAGTCGTTTTTAAGCCATATTATAAAATAGATTATATGAAGAAAATATTTTTCTAAAGAACATAAGTAAAAGTGGGGCAAATTAGATGCATTTTATAATAAAAATTTCAGATTATAGCCGTGTATTCATACTTTTACTTAATTAAATATTTCATAGTTTAATTTTCTATAAAAGTTTTTTAAAATTTTACTTTGTATATTAGTGTCATTGACCAAAGAATATTTTAAAGCAAAATTAAAGATACAAATAAAATTTAATTTTCCCTCAAATTAATATATTTCCAAATATTAAAATTAGAATGAAAATATGTCTTAAAATTTTTAAATGAACACATTAATTATAAATATGTTAAATTCATTTTTAAAAATCTTTTTAGGGTGTATTTTGTTGCACGCTTATATGCTAGAAGACTGTTTAACAAAGAGTTTAGAGTTTTAATATATGTTTTTAAAAGATAATTTAAAAATGCATGTATACATACATAGGCACATACACAATGGTACCTCGGTTCAGGAACTTAATTTGTTTTATGATTTGGGCTAAGATGGCCACAGTTGTGTTTGTCACCCGATATGGAGTTTGTGAATGGAAGCAAAATTTTGTCAAATGCTTTTTTTGAGAACCAGATTGTTTCCAAACAGAAGCATTTTTGAACTGAGGTATTACTGTAATTCCAACCTATAATTTCTATGGATTCCATTCAAGTTCTCTCTTACAGAACAACCACACCATGGGTCATTGTTTTATAGACTAAATGAAAAGTATTCTTTTATGAAGATTTCATTAAATGTCATAGAATATTCCTTACTTCCTAATTTTAAAAAATTAAAGTAACTTATGCTTCATTTGGAGAGAGCCTTTGGGAGGGGGCAGGAATGGAGACTGTTCCAAACAAGAGCAGGTGCCTAGAAATTTCTATGTATATTGCAAAAAGTTTGTTCGTGTGTATATAAATAATATTTCAATAAGTAGTAGAAGCACTATCATACAAGGAGATCTATGAAAAAGAAGGATGGAGGAAGAGCTTTGTACTCAAGAAGACTGGTTATTAATAATACAGCAGAAAACCTGAAGGTATATTTCAGTGACTATAAGAGGACTTCTGTAAGTTAGTCAGTTAATTAGACCATTATACTATAGGGTTTTAAATCAGATAATCAAAAATAAAAAAAATTTCTTAAAATTCAGATAATCTAGAATTGTAAAATTTTAAATTGATTTGTACTTCTGTGCCATTGATCCATTCTGGAGACATGCTCTGGACGTCTGAAATTCAGATATGACTGATGTAGCATAATTAATTTTATACATTAAACTGTGTTATTTATATTTTAATAGGTTAAGGAAATGGAAGGAATTCTAAAAAGAAGATATCCCAATTCTTTACCTGCTTTAATATTGGCTGCCTCAGCCGCTGGTGATTCAGCAGATAGAAATACAGTGGAATTCATGGAAAAAAGGATTAAAAAGCTAGAAGCTGACCTGGAGGGGAAAGATGAAGAAGCAAAGAAAAGCCTTCGTACTATGGAACAACAGTTTCAAAAAATGAAGGTAAGTATGCTATAGCTATGGAGTTGGCATTCAGAGATGGACCAGGGGGCCAGAGCCTTCTTGGATCTCATCTTAACAAACAGCTCTAAACATCCTTGCCCACAGACCTTTGCCAAAACTGCACCTACATCTATCCTATCTTGTCCTCTTTCAGCAACTCCTTTTTGTTTCAGACATAAAATGAACAAGCACAGGATAATCTTCACATCGCCCCTCTCAGTGTTAGAATTAGTAGAAATTAGGCCAAGGAAAAAGCAGGTAAAGCACCCTTGATACATAATTAGCATAAGATGAAAAAAGAAATCATCAAGGTTGACCATTATTTCACTGAAACTTATCCTAGATAGGTGTGAGAGTGATCTGAAAATTAAGGTCACATCAAAGCAGGTTGTGTTTCTGTTATTAACCCTCTTTATTAAATCTCAGCCCCTGCCTGGTGGTTTACTTTCTTCTCCTACCATTCTACATCCTAATGTTTACTCCTTTACCACCCAGCTTCACCTTGTGCCCCAGTTCACTCTGTCTCCTCCACTCATACTGCTGTGTGTCCAAAGAAGACTGCACAGTTGAGAGAGACAAGGGCTGCTCAGGTGCATGAGTGTCCAATTTCATGAATCCCTTCAGTGCTACTTGGCAAGCCTGTTGTGGATGTGGCTGAGCAATTCCTTTCAAGTTTTTAACCATTCACTCTGACTCTTTGTCAAGTTCATCTTCCCCTACCCTTACCCCATTCTCCTTTCAGCAGACCTTGCCCCCTTTATATATGAACTGTAGCGTAATGGGAAACACAGCACTCTAGAGTCAGACCCTCCGCCTAGGACCAGTTCTACCATGACTGAGCTAGTTACTGTACCTCTGACCCTTAGTTTTCTCACGTGTGCCAGGAATAATAACTGACTTCTTGCCAATTACCCACTTTTATTTCAAATTATTTTTCGAACAGTCTCTTCATTAACATGTCACTATATTACAATCATTAATAAAAGGGCTGGGGCTAGAGATATATGGTACCTCAATAATAGAGAACCTGCCTAACCTTCACGAGGCCACTCGGGTTCAAATCCCAGCACCACCATCAAAAAAAAGTATGTGTGTGTGTATTTGTTTGTTTGTTTGTTTGTTTTTTGGTACTGGGGATCAAACTCGGGACCTTGCGCTTGCAACGCAGGCAGCAGCACCACTGAGTTAAATCTCCAGCCCCCTGTGTATTTTTTATATTACTACAGTAATTTCCTGACTAGTCTACACATATCCATCATGCCCATCTTACAACTCTTGATACTAAAGCCAAAATTCATATCCCTCTGTCTTCTATACACGCATACATACCACTTGTTGATATCCTTTCAACAACTTCTTGCTGCTCTTAGGATAAATAAATGGCATTTATCCACAAATGACCAAGCATTTCCATCCTCTTCAATGTTTTTTTAATATCATATTTGTTTCTTTAAATCATACTGGCCTGCTTGTCTTATTTCCTGTAGCCACAGAAATGTGTATGCTTTGTTGCCTCTGACTGGTATCCTTTGAGCTCCCCTTTCGCACAACAAAAGTGTTCCTGTGATCCAGATTTCAGCCTAAACATTGCTCCAGTGAAACGCAAAGAAATTTTTAAACAATAAGCAGTGTTCCTGGGACCTCTTGGTAAATGAATTACCTTGGTATGCACCCACCACGCTCAGCCCCATGCACCCACCACAAGTGCAGACACTGGATTGCACTGCTAGTTGTCTCTGCCTTCTAGATTCTGGACTCTATGGTGGTAAAGTCCATTCTGCTCTCACTCATTGTTGTATTCTATCATTCAGCAAGGTGCCTGGCACAGAAAAGATACTCAGTGCTTTATTCCCTATATCATAAGGTATTGGGAGTATTGAATGTTGTATGAGGCCCTAGTACCATGCCTGGAATATAACAAACAGTAAATGATTACACTTATTATTCATATTCTACCAAGCAAAAAGTTCAGATATAAACTCCAACCCCCTTCCCCATTTTTATATCTAAATCTACTAACCTAACCTCACTTTTCCCCTTTTTACAATCCCCTATCCCATCATCCTACTCCTGTCCCTGCTCATTACATGTCACTTCCTCCCTTTGTTTCTAATTCTCAGAATACACCAGTCACTCTCACATGTTCTCTCCTTCTAAAATGTCTGTGCTTCTACTCATCCCTTCATCCCCAAATTAATACTTATCCCTCAAGATCAAACTTGAATGCACTGTCTCAGTGCTGTCTCCCACCTTTAGGCCTCCAGACTGTCAGGGCTGCCTCTCCACCTCTGCACTGTGTTCATAGGCCCATTGCCACAGGTATCATAGCACATTATAACTTGCTCTGTCACTCTCTTCACCAGACTGTAAACTATCTGAAAGTAAAAATTGAATCTCCTCTTATCTCTAGAACCTACCACAGTACAAATTTGTGGCTTAATAAACATCACTGATTGAATAAATAAAGACTATTGGTGCCTCTCCATAGAGTAAACTTTTTATTTAGTATACCAAGGCTCCAGTATACAGATTCTAAGCTGACTTAGTCCCTGTAAGATTAATAAATTGATGTTAGAAGGCTGAAAATGTGCTGTTTTTCAGGCTTCAATACCCACAGATAGTTTACCTATTTATTCTCAAAGAATATGTTTGACAATTTGCAAGGAAACGGCTGCATAATAGGTTGAAATTAACCTATTAATATTAATAATTTGTTGGCAGTACATTAGTAAATTAATACTATTTAATAAGCCTTTATTTTTAAGGTTCAGAATAAATTTGGGGGTATACAAATTACATGTATATTTATGAAGCAACATTATGAAATTGTATGACATGTCAAGATTATATGATATTGTACCCTTCAAACAATAAGGCTTTTATACATTTGGCTCACAAAGAGAGCTGGATACATCAGAATATATAAGAAATACCTGAATAAAGGACTAGGTAAGACTGGAGAGAATGCAGGGCTTAAGTAACTAATGAAATGTTCAGCAAGGCTTTGATACTACATGAATTCTTTCTTTAGATTCAGTATGAACAAAGACTTGAGGAACAGGAGCAGCTACTTGCCTGCAAATTGAAGGAAACAACCCATAACCAGAGTAACAACTCCAGGGTTAAAACACTAGAAACAGAACTCAAGGACATTAAGGAAGCCCATCAAACCATTGTAAGAAACCTTGCAGCAGAAATAGATATTCTTAAACATCAGAATGCTGAATTAGAACTCAAGAAAAATGACAAAGATGATAAAGATTTCCAGTCTATAGAATTCCAGGTGGAACAGGCCCATGCCAAAGCTAAACTAGTAAGACTAAATGAAGAACTGGCTGCCAAAGGAAGAGAAATACAGGACCTTTCAAAAACTGTGGAGAGGCTTCAGAAGGAGAGAAGAATGATGCTGTCTCATCAGAATGCAAAGCGAAGAGAGGAAGTGAATGCCAAAAGGGTGAAGAAAGATGTTTTGCACCCAAATAAAGGAAATGCAAACTTCTCTGGAACCCTGGGTGGCAAGCTGTACCAACCACATACTTTTACTGATTCCCATATTTCAGAGGTTGTACAAGAAAACTACAGATTAAAAAATGAGCTAGAGGAATTAATTTTGGAGAGAAATAAACTAAAGATGGAATCTGAAGCAGCAGTGAACCAATTTGAAAACTCCATGAAAAGGTAAAGTGTTGAATTGTTTATAAATACTTGGAAACCTAAAACATTTTTTTTTAATCCTAAGACATTTTGTCTGGATAACCAGTTCGACCTTGAATCAAATTTATAACTAGATTTTTAAAAATTGTATTACTTTGCCGATCATTGATACATTTCAAAGTACCATTCTGAACCTGCCAGAGGCCCAGATTCTGATGAACAAAAATCTGTGTCACCTCTAGCCATGTCTTTGGGCTGACCAGTCTTGGTTTTCTGTATGTATCCAAGTGATGTTAATAATTAATAAGCAGGCCACTTGGGCCTTTCTTGTGAAAGAAATGTCATTTATGACTGCTGTAGGCAGACTGCTGTCAGAAAAGAGCTATTATTAAAATTAATTGACCATCTAAGAGGAAAAGATTTGTCTTTTGAAAAGTAACTTTCGAACTACCCTTATGATCCATGCATGACTTGAGGAACTTTACACATTTCTTTGTAGAATCTCCATCTGCTACCAACTGTCTCTTTTCTCTGTGCCTTCTGACATCCTCAGAACTTTCTTTCCCCTAATCAAACCAAGTTCCAGTCCTCTTACTGTCTTTCAGTGCCAGTTTCCCACAAGTAGCCTCTCCTGTTTCCACCCCACCTTGTCTTAAGCATGGCTCTTACTACTCTATTTACAACCTGTTCTCTCAATAATGACTATTCTCAGTCCAATGACATTTTCTGCATCCTCATTTTTCTTGACAGCGTTGACCACGAAGCCTTTCTTCAAAGGTTTCCCCCTTAACCTCCATAACTTAGCAGCTCTAAATTTTTTTTTCTGACTTGTAGTTCCATTGCCTTTCCTGCCCCCAAATCTTTCTACAAAAGCTCAGTTCTTGGCCTTCTGTTCTTTCTCTGTTGCTAAACTTATCTATTCTTATGGCTTCTATGAATCATGGCTTCTAGATTTATTTTTCAAGGCTTGCTCTCAGATGTCAAACCTACAACTACTGGTTTGGATTACTTAGAATCAAAAGTACCTCAAGTTTTCTCTTTTTTACCTATAAACTAGTTCCCCCTCCTGAGTTCTCCATCCTTGTCTATGTATATATTAATTCCAACTGCCAGGCCCAAATTTACTTCCTTTTTAACTAGGGTTCATGGTATATAGGGTCTTTCCTATAAATATTCATCATTTAGCTTTCTTCCTCATTGCTAGGGCATACTGCCTGATTTACTATAGTTTTCCCACCCTGATCACCCTTTGTTTGTACCTCCCCCAATCATCATGCTTAAAAATATTAATATTCTTTAAATATTTCCATATCCATGTCTCTGTGCCCTCCAGGACTCCCAACTTCCATAAATATCAAGACTAAATTTCTCTGCCTAGTATCTTAGATCACTATTCTAATAGTATTCTATGAGGTGTGATAGAAAAAGAGTGTTTTAAGATTTTTTTTTAATTCATTATGATAAAAGATACATTGTCTATCAGTCACCGTCAAAGCATTCCCTTTTCCTTCCATCCTTCTTGCCACTTTCTGAAGCAATTCTAGTGAGTTTTAAGTATCTTTAGTTATACTGTGTAAGATAAATGGTGATGACTTAGTAAAGAACACAAAAGGTCTGAGTTTAGGGGTTCTGGATGGGACCTCCTTGAGTAACTCCAAAGCAGAAGCAGAGTCCAGTTTATTGAGCTGGGTCTTTTATGGATAGGTTTGCGGGATGGGCTTAGGTGGGGTGATGTGAAGAGGAAGGAGGGCAAGAGACTGAGTGAGTGAAAATGGCTCAGAGTACATGTCTATAACAACAGCCACTGTAACCTAGCAGGGGGACAGCCATTGTTCCCAGGCTCAGGCAGGGGCTGTAGGCTAGGAACAGGCTGTAGTGTTTTTGGAGCTCAGGAACTTGGACAGCTGGGGGTTGGGCAGGTGAGGGTCAGACCTATAATGCTCCTGTGGCTGCTTTGATGTCCTGAATCTTTATACTCACTTTTAATGGTCATTTTGACTTTGGGGAAGAGCCAGAAGTTGAACAGTGCCAGATCTGGTGAATAAGGTGGATGAGAACAATGTTTTTACAAGCCTGCCTTTTCTTTGGATGGCACTTGGCAGCAGCATTCACCTTACTGTATTTTTTGACATGAAAGAGAACTTCCAGAACTGCTCCAGAAATTGGCAAGAATGATGGAATAAATGTGTTCAAAGGCGAGGGGGAGTATTTTGAGGGAGATTAATAGCAATGTGTCTCTCATGGTATCTTTTTTTTTTTTTTTTTAAACTTCATGGTATATTTTGATCACCTAACCTGCCACATTTCCTAATCCCTTTTGCTCATTTGTGTTTCAAGTCTTCCTCCTCCGCAAAATATTTCTTGGAGCGTCCCAGGAAATTGCCTGCTCCTGCCCCCAACTCCTACACAACTTATAATATGTACCAAGAAAATGTTAATCATGCACAGCCTTAAGAACAGGTGTTCAGTTATGTCTTTGCATCTCCACAGAAACCCAGTTTAACAAGTCCTTATTGATGGACTGTGAGCCATGGCAGAGATTGAGTCATCATGACAGCCATGCTGCTCCAAACTGAAACCTCATTTCTGCATTCCTGAAGCTAATTAGGGAGAATCACATTCTTTCCTAGAAATAATTTCAAATCTAGGTTTTTCGTATGAATTTCCCTGTGTATAATTTAAAATGTTCTTTTGTTGTCACTGTTTCTCAGATAGCTCTAAACCTGAAAACTAAACTTTCCCAGTCCCAGATTTAGGCTGTTTTTTATTATAGTTCAGTTCTATCATGTTTTTAAGTTTTTGTGCTTTCTCTAGAACTCTAACCATACTGTTTCCATAGAGAAATACTCATATAGTGAAATAAGCATATGATAAACTTGTCTATAATTTGTAAATTGTTATATTAGTATGTATCGACAGTGATTCATAACTTTTCCATTTATTAAACTGCCTTCAAATGAATAAATTTTTGTCAGACAAATGAATAGTCTCACATTTATAGTCCAGATGAAATCAGATTCCCTTATATCCTGAGAATTACCATAAAGATCATCTTATTCTCACAACATACAACTAGGCCTAGAGTCATATTTGTGCACCAAAAATTGGTAAATGCTGCCTAGACATAAAGCATTGAAGATTCCAAAATGAATACCTGTGATTCTACAAATAAGAATCTGAGCAAGAAACCTGAATTTATCTTAAAATATCAAGCACTTTCCTTTAAATTCAAGCAGATATTTTGAAGCTTTGGATTTCCTTACAGAATATAGGCTCAGACTTTTTGAAATCTAACTCTGCTTGACTTGAACCCCGGCTCTACAATAGACTGACTGATCTGGGTCCCTAGATATTTCACTTTTTCTAAACTACAATTTTCCCTTATAAAATGTAGTAAGTAATAATGAGTTCATGAAGTGTTGTAAGAAAACCATAGATAATAATGTGTAAAGGCCCTAGCATGATAACAGTTAATAGATACCCTCTCTCCCTTTGTTTCTTCTTACACTAGTTTTGTGCTAACTCTGAGTTAAAGGTTGAAAAGTCACTATTGTGTGTGAATTTCATTCATTTGTTCTATAGGGTCAAGGAAGACACTGCAGCACATATTGCATCCCTCAAAGCATCCCATCAGAGGGAAGTAGAGAAACTCCTTTGCCAAAATGCAGTTGAAAATTCTTCTTCCAAAGTAGCTGAACTGAATCGTAAAGTAGCAACTCAAGAGGTGGATCACAAATGTATCTTGATCTTTCTTTGGTTCTAATATTTGTTTTCTGACTGTTAACAGAACATTAATTTGGATTTTTTTTTTTTTTTTTTTGGTATGGGGATCAAACTCGGGACCTTACACTTGTGAGGCTGGTGCTGGAACCACTGAGCTAAATCCCCGGCCCAAAAATATGGAATGCTTCACGAATTTGCATGTCGTCCTTTCACAGGGGCCATGCTAATCTTCACTGTATGGTTCCAATTTTAGTATATGTGCTGCCAAAGCAAGCACAATTTGGAAATATTTTAACTTCATTTTTTAGGTTGATGGTAGAAATAGGAAATTATTATTAGCTTGTGTTTTTTATAGAAAACGATGTCATTGCCATATATTTAATGTTTCTACTTTAAAATTATGCTTTAAATGAGTAGTTTTAGTTGAGTCCCTACCCTTCTCAAATCTACTAAATACTTTATAACAGATGGTTGAGGTACATGTCTAATGTAATTGTGACTTTAGTCCTTGAATACTGAACCACTTCCCTCCCCACAAAGTCCCAAATGACAGGTGATTTACTCTCAGGCATTCTTTCTGCCCGCTACTTTTTATTTATTAAACAAATGATGATTCAGGTCTATAGACAATCAGGTTTGGGAACTAAAATAATGAACAGAGATATGCATAGCACTAGCCCTTATGAAACATAGTCTTCTAAGAATTATGACAAAGACTGCTGACAAGTTACCAGCATTTTCTTGAATAAATGTGTCTTCCTTTTTGGATAATAGTTGTATCTACGTAGAATATCCAAAAATATTCACTGTGTAGTCTGTCTTCTCTGATGTTAGTAGGTTTTAAAAAAGAGCATTACAGGGAAGGGTATTTAGCTCAGTGGCACCGCACCTGCCTCGCCAAGTGCAAGGTCCTGAGTTTGATTCCTGGCACACACACCCCCCAAAAAAAAGCATTACAATAGAACTTTTGTCTGCAACTTACTCAGAAATGAGATATATCCAAGAAAAGAAAATGAGTTAAGATGTTAGCAGTTGGGGAATCAAGTGGAAGAATGTGTGAATGTTATTTTTTCTCTTCATCCTTTCTGTAGGTTTTAATCTTACTAAAATGAGCCTTACAGAAAAACTTCAAGAAATAATTGTCTTACCATGATGTATCCCACCTATAATTACTTCATACCATATTAATTAAAAAACAAATCCCTCAATTGAAGAAGCTTAAATATGGACTTGCTATTAAATACTAAGACATTATAAATTTTCTTAGGTATGGGCTGGGGATTTAGCTTAGTGGTTCTACTGCCTCCCCTTCAAGTGCAAGGACCTGAGTTTGATCCCCAGTACCAAAAAAAAATTTTTTTTCTTAGGCATAAAATTGTAACTGTGATTATTATAAGGAGGTGCCTGTTGTAGTATTTAGGAGGTAAAATGTATTGAAGTTGCAATTTAATTTCATGTGGCTCAGAAACAGAACGATTCTTTTAATTTAGTGAGAAGTATTTAAAGTGCCTTTCAAAAGTAGTAATCCATACAGCCATGCATATAACTTTTCTAGCTCTTTTCCCCTTAGGAGGTATCAGAGGGTAGGTGTAAGCCTTGTATCATGTGATTCTGTAGTATGAAACAATCTGGGAGAAACGGGAACAGTAATGTCATAATACCACAGTACCATAAATATGTCATTTCCCAGAGTTATAAATGTAATAGTGTGAAATTATGAGATAAATGGAAGAATAGTCTGATTGTTAAGAGGAGTACTGTATCAGAGATAATATGCATTTTTCAGTTTCTTATTGGAAATATCTTCATATATTTGTTTCTTTGTCTACAAACATGTCTAAAAACAACTGACATTTCACAAATTTTAGAAGGCTTATTATATTTAGTTAATGGCTCTTAAATAAAAACTATCATCCTACCTGATCACAAAGTATAAAGACAGTATTGTCCACTTTCCTCCAAATGCTTAGAATTTATAGAGATGTATGTTCAAAGATTTTTTTTTTCCAATCACAAGTTGGCTTTCTTAGATGTTTCAGATAGTGTTCAAGGGAGAACCTTATTAACACAGTATTTCTGATAATTTTCTAGATCCTTATAAAACATTTCCAAAGTCAAGTTAATGAGCTACAGGGTAAGCAAGAGTCTCTTGCAGTTTCTCAAGTTCGAGAAGAAATCCTACAAAAAGAGGTAAGAAGTACAAATCTTTCTTAGGCATTTCAATCATATATTTATATATAAAATGTTTAACTTAAATACACATAGGCATAACCTGAAAGTATCTATTACACATCAAGAAAATATTAGTAACTTATTGATGTAAAGTTCTCCCTAAATGAAGTTCAGCTATTATCATTAAATTGTATTTGCTCTTGAGGTTTTGTGTGCAGTATAGAAATGGGTTGAGAGGGCCAGGGCTTTAGCTCAGCAGTGCCCCTGCTTGCCTCACAAGCACAGAGTCTTGAGTTTGATCCCCGGTACCAAAATAAAAAAAAAATGGGTTGAGATATATTTGGTCCTTTGATTTTTTTTTTTAAGAAGTAAAATTGGATACTCAGAGCCATGTCTGTGCTAAGAAGAAAAACAGTTTTTTTCCTCACCCTCGTGAGTTGTCAGAATGGACCCTACAACAAAAGACAGATTAAGAAAAGGAAAACAAGTTTATGAACATATATGGCACATAATGCAGGAGAAACCTCACTGCTAAATAAATCAGAACAGTGACAGAGAGCTCTCTAAGGCAGTAGCTTTGGTGATTGGGGTTAGAAGTTACAAAGTGGCCCATCCAAGTTAGATCTATACAGTGATTTAAGTAGAGGTGTTTTTGTGGGAAGGGAAAAAAAAAGATTAATGGTTAGAACAATCCATAACCGGTTTTTGAATCGGGGAAAGCAGTCAGTCAAGAAGACCTATAGATGTTGGTCTCGAGCACCTTTTGCAGGTTGAATACCTCGTGTTCAGAATAACCCTCACTGGAGCAGACACAATTTTTATAGAAGTGAGTTGTTTTGATGATTCTTTTGCAGTTTATATAAAGTCATTTGGCTTGTTAGGGCTTGAGGAAAAGGGAAGTGTTAATTTTAAACGATTCCAAACCAGAAGGGTAAAAGTTGGTAATACTAGTTTGATAAATTACAATTCATTATTGTAGGAAAACAGAATTTAGGATCCAGGCCAGAAGGCAGGTAAAAAACAAAACCTCAGGGCTGGGGATTTAGCTCAGTGGTTCCGGCACCTGCCTGGGAAGAACAAGGTCCCGAGTTTGATCCCTAGTACCAAAAAAAAAAAAAAACCCTCAAAGATGATGAGAAGGGTTAAAATCTGACATCCACAAGGGTGTTATAATTTTCTACTGAGGAAATTTTTTTTTTCTCTCTACGTCACTCCCATTTATGTCAAAAAAAAAGTCATATAACCAAGTTGTTTCCAAAAATTGGTCTGGTCTTAGGAAACTTGCCTTAATTATCCACATGAATACAACAAGAATAGTGATTGACTACATAGGCTCCTTTTTAATCTGCTTGGCTAAAACTTTCAAGAAACAATCTCAGATTGTTCCCTTAAAAGGCTCTCTAGGGCCGGAGATTTAGCTCAGTGGCACTGCACCTGCCTCGTAAGCGCAAGATCCTGAGTTCGATCCCCGGTACCAAAAAAAAAAGGCTCTCTAGTCTAGGGAGACAAACCATCAGATTTTGCTTACAATACCAGGTGTGAACTCCCTGAGCCCATGTCAGATTTATTTCCTGGTTGCTGGCTTTTACCCAGCATAAGTACAAGTAACCTGTATGCTTTGATCCTGACCTTCTTGCTGAGTGATTTTTATAAATCCTTCAGGGAAAGGGAAGTTAAATTGGGCAGCTGAGCATTAATCAGATTTTTCTGGGGAACCTGGAAAAGTTTTAGAATTAAAGGAATTTGTTGAAGGGGTCAGACCAGATCTTGAAGTAGGCTCAATTCAGGGATCCAGAGATCCAGAAGATCTTCACAGAATCAGAGTGAGGGAATTTGGAAGCAAACAGGATTATTAAGGGGGTAAAGAAAAATTTATAGCAGGTGTATATTTTAATTTTGATCTTAAATCAAACTTGTAATTGGGGGGTTGTTAATCTTACTAAGGGAATCTGTAAGATGAGCTTTGACACTCCTTAATGTTCTCCTTTAATTTTTATCTTCTCTTAGTAACAGGACATTTATTTAGAATAAGAGCTCCCCAAAAGTAATCATTTCAGATTTAAAGTCCCAAGTTTTTTAAAAAGTATATTCATTTTAATGTGACTCTAGACAAGTAAACTACATACTGGTTTTAAGCCATAAAAAGCCTTAATCATGGATGTGACATGACAGACTTCCTCAGAAAACCTGCAGAAGATGCAGTCTCAAAATGTAAAGTTTCTCCCCAAAAATAGCTAAGAAAGCAGAGTGTTTCTGTACGAACAGTAAGAACAGTGTTTCATGTCTCCCACAGAATGTGCAATGGTCCAGTCACAAACCTAATCTGTAATGACACCGAGCAGGCACTACTGGGAGGGGACTTTGCCAGCCCTAACCAAGCAACAAAGGTTTAGAAGCCAAAGGCCCCTGTGGACTGTGACCCTTTGACTTCCCTGAGATCTAACACAAAAAGGGAATGCTGCTTGTCACTTGAACCTTAGGTCCTTTCAAAAAAAGTGTGCAGAAATTGAAATCGTATTTAATTTGAATATTCTGTGTATACATATGGCACCATCGTCTTGATTTAGTAACTGTGATTTAGTTGTGTTCTAAATAATTCTTTAAAAATCATCATCTTAACAACAGGTTTTCATGCCCAGCTCCACAACATGTTCTATAAGGTACCTCTCTGAATTTTCTCAAACCATCCGAAACAAAGTCTTTATTTGGTGGCTATTGATAAAATTGAGGATGTTCCACATTTAAAATACTTAAGTTGTCTCTGATTTAATTGCTTTTCATTTCACTTTTCCCCCCAACTAATTTAGGTAAGATGTGATTTTTTTTTTTAGAAGAATTATTGTTACTAAGTAATGTTCCCATGTAAAACATGATTAAATTTATTAATTTAATCAACTTGCATTTTCTTGTGTTTTAGTGCCTTTTGATGTTAACAGCAAAATCTGATTGATGAAATTTCTTTTAGAATCATTATATGGTATGAAGAAAATGCAATTAATTGTTGTATTAAGCCTTAAAAAAAAGTCCTGCAAGGGCTGGGGATTTAGCTCAGTGGTTCTGCCGCCTGCTGTGCAAGTGCAAGGTCCTGAGTTCAATCCCCAGTACCAAAAAAAAAAAAATTCCTGCAATTCCCCTCCATTTTACTCCAAGGTGCTTAATCACCATTTTCTTTGTGGACTATGCTGTGAAAATGGAGGTTCTACACTAGACTGTTACCTTCATGAGAACAAGGACTGTCTTATCTCTGCATACACAGGTCCTGAGGCACCAACCAACACAGAAAGAGCTCAGTACTTTGTTATCTCTCCTTTATATTCATAATCTTTATTTGTGGAATAAGTTACTAAAAATTATGAAGTGATAAGGGCCATAAGAGTTACAAATAAAATTATGGAGTGTTGATAAAAGAAATATATATTCATTGAACTCTTTCTGTGCATCAGTCACTATTGTTAGGTGCTTTAACACATTCATGACAGGGCAGTAATTCATATGTCTCACTGCTGAGCAGCTTGAACCACTGATGGTCCATGCATGACTGTCCATCAGACAGCTTGTACCACTGGTGGTACAAGAAGATCTAATCACTTTAATCAATCTTTTTACTAAAAATAGAAATTGTCACATTTATTTCAAAAAAAGATTTTTGTAATGTGCTTTCTGTATCCTTTTAAATTCTGTAAAATCTGTGGTAATGTCCTCTAAATCTTGATATTGTAATTTTAAGAAAATGTATAATTGATATTGTGTAATAGGAAGAAAAGGTCTAAAGGAGTAGGGGAAGTGGGAGGGGTAGGGGAAAGGAAAGAAGGGAAAAGAAAAAATATGAGAAAAGGAAAAAAATGGAAACAAAATCTTTGTACGTAGGGAAGGGGGTGAAGGGAGGGCAGGGGAATGGTGAAAACATAAGAACCAAGATACGTCATGTAAAGGTACAAGATCTCAATGATGAATGTAACTGTATTTTATATCTAAAATGTACCAATAAACTTAATGGAAAAAAAATCGCCCAATGGAACAGTTACGCGTGTACCACCGGTGGTTCAAGCCAGCAGGAACATGTATTCTTTTTAAATCCTTAAAGTAATTACCTTATTACAACTACCTCCTATCCAAGCTGATCCTATCAAAGAAAGATCCCAACTTCATGTTGAGCCTCATACCAGATAGGTTATGTGGGAGGGAGAAGTTGTGGTCCATCTGGAGCTTCTGAGAATGTGAGGTGAATTTTGGAAAGAGAACAAACCTTTACTACCTGTCCATGGGGAATGGAAACTATTAATGACTCAGAGAATCCAAGATACTGCTTATCTAGAGAAATTTTATAGAAATACTTATTTTTAACATTGCCTATTTAAAAAGAACTATCTCCTTGTGATCTTAGTTTTTCACTTCATACTTCAATTTTAGATTACAAAACTATTAGAAGAATTGAGAGAAGCCAAAGAAAACCATACACCAGAAATGAAACATTTCATGGGCTTAGAAAAGAAAATCAAACAGATGGAAATAAGACATAAGCAGAGAGAACAGGAACTTCAGCAGGTAAAGTAGATCACATGTGCATGTTTTATAGCTCTTCACTTTAAGTACCATTAATTTTCTGTAGTTTTGACCTACTTACCAAGTTTCTTCCTAAAGTGTTTCCAGTGTATTTAAATCTTGTTAAAAATAATAATAGCATTTAAGAGGAGACAAGACTTTTAATTCTCAAGTACTTGCAAATGAATTTGTTTTATACTTGGAGGGAGAAAAAACTTGCATCATATTCTTATTGGTAGGTGCCTAAGTTTTACATCTTACCTTGGGTGCAGGGCTTTAAGAACAGTGTTCTGTATTGCAAGTCATTTCAACAAATGTGTATAAGAAAATTTAATATTGAAATATGATTATGAAAATATTATATACTTAGCACTAGTAATATGTTTACTATGATTACAAACATTATCTGCTATTTTAAACTTCTACTAATAAGGACATGATGTGTACGTGTGTTGTTGCTGATATTTAGCTTTGCTTTAACAGTGTATTAGTCTGTTCAAGCTGCCATAACAAAATATCATAGACTAGTTGGTTAGAACAACCAAAACTTATTTTTCATACTTCTGGAGACCAAAAAAATAGTCAAATTGGTTCCTGGTAAGGGCTGCCTTCCTGGTTTGCATATGGCAGTCTTCTCTGTATTATTACATCGCACACCAAGGATGAGGAGAAAAGATGAAGTTCTCTAACATCTCTTCACAGGAGGACACTAATCCTGTCAGATCAGGACTCCATCCTTATGATCTTATTTAACCTTATTTCCTTACTCTACATCAGTGGTTAGGGCTTCAATGTATGAATTTTCAGAGGTCATAGATATTCAGTCCATAACTGGATTTAATACCTTTTCAAGACAGAAAATACTATATACAGGCAGAACTTTATGGTTGACCTGAGTTCTGCAGAGAAACCCAGGTGTGCTTTCTCAGCTTTGTCCCACCTCAGCCCTTTGAGACTGTTAAATATTCTTCACTCCCACTATCAACTATAACAGCAATGTGTAATTTTTGTATTTGCAGATAATACAGCAGACATACCAAGTAGTAGAAACTGAGCAAAACAAAGAAATTGAGAAATGGAAAAGACTTGCACAGTTAAAGAATCATGAGCTGGACAAGTTCCGCACAGAATTAGACTCAATATTAGATGTTCTTCGGGAGCTGCACCGGCAGGGGCTAGTAGTGCCAGTTGCTTTTGCAGGTGAAGTGAAATTTTAGTAGAAACTCAGACTTCAGATGACCTTGTTGGAAGCCCTAAAGATGGATAAAGTTGTACCACTTTCAGGACAGATTTTGAAAAATGAGTTCCAGTATGTTGCCAGAAGGAAACAACGCAAACACCACCATTTCAGAATAAATTACCCTTAACCAACAACGAAATAAAAAAGCGTCATGATGTGTTTTACTGAAGATCATTAACTAGTCACATTTTAATTGATTTATGGACAGGTTCCTATTGTCAGATGATTATAACCTTGTAAGATTTATTATAAAAGGTCTCACCTATATGCTGGAAATGGGAGGAAAATTGTACAAACTCTACCACATTATTTTGACCAAACGTGTATTCTTAATTTTCTTTGAGACAGGAAAGCAGCTTCTCTTTCTTGTGAAACTGGATAGAGGAATGTGAGCCCAGTGATGTAGACAACCTCATCAACGCAGCTGAGTTATAGAGCTTTCTCAGTAATTTAGATGAAAATTCTCAACTTCCATGCCGGTACATGATTAATTCTCCTGTGTTCTAGTTTTCCATCCCTTCCTCTAGGTGACTCTTTTTTGTACTTGATATAAAGTGAAAATTATTAGGGAAATTTGACATGGCCACTGTTTTAATCTTTTAGGCTATGGTACATAAATGTTAGCCCTAATTTTTTTTGTAACTTTAAAATTAAAAGCAATACAGTGACAAAACTTTTCTATTGAAAAAAAATCCATTAGAAAAAAATACAAATATGCATGAGTAACTGCTTTATTTTACAATTCCCATTTCTAAAAGCAGATAGGAACTGTGTGAGATAGCCAGTTTGTTTTCAGATGTTCTAGCCCAGGACCATCTAATAGAAATATAATGAGACCCACATCTGATTTTTTTAATTTATAGTAGCTCCATATAAAAGATAAAAATGAAAAAGTACAAAGCTCAATTTTATATTTTTTCTTAAGTCTTCAGAATATAGTTTACATTTAGAGCACATCTCAATTTGGATTAGCCACATTCCAAGTGCTCAGTGACTATCAGTAAGTGCAATTCTAGGGTAATAATTACAAAATAAAAGTACTCTATAAAAGAGAGGAAAATTAAGTCTTAGTGGAATTGTGGGCAACGGATGTGAGGAAATGTAAGGAATGTAATTATTGTCTTAACGTCCAGCATTTTTAATGTACCTTTTCTAAGAGGATAGTACAAGGATTGTAGTTTGCTATTTTGTAATATGAAAGCATTTTAATTTATAATATAACTTATTTGGATTATTTGTATGTGCTTTTGTGTATCTTTTTATTTACAAGCCTATGAATTCAGCTGCACCCATCACTTCCTTTGTCCTTTTGACTCACTATACATGTACTCATCCCAAGCACAAATATAGCTGGTTCTGAAACACAACAAAATGCAAACATCAAATATTTATATACAAGGTACATTAGACTTTGATGAGGATTCTGTACTCCAACTATAGTATTATGTTTTGGAATAAGCTATGCACGTGTTCTGTTAACAGATTAAAGATTCATAAGTACCATCAAAGATATGGTTACAACTAAAAACCTCAAGAACTGTATTTCATTCCTTAATGATTGACCTTGGGACCAGATGAGAACACAGAAGATGGATATATTTAGGCTATTTTGAATAGAAAGGCATTCATGAAGATTTAAGCTCCAGAGATGATAATTCTTTTCCACTATGACGGTTTTCCACTGTGATGGTTAATTTTAGATGTTGGTTAATTTTAGGTGGTTTTTAAGCCATATCTATAGCTAGGGTATATCTGTAAGGTTCTTTCCAGAAGAGATTGGCATTTGAATCAGTGGTCTGAGTAAGAAAATCCACCCTCACCCAGTGAAGGAGAATACTACTCAAATGGTTGAAGAAGGCCTGGATAGAACAAAATGGCAGAGAAGAAAAGCAAGTTCAGTCTTCTGGAGCTGGGATAGCCCTCTCCTTCTCTTGGATATCAGAGTTCAGGTTCTTGGGCCTTCAGTCTCCAGGACTCGTATCAGCAGCCCCTCAGATTCTCACACCTTGGCCTTGGATTGAGAGTTTCACCATAAGCTCCCTTGGCTGTCAAGACTTCCTCAGGACTGAGCTATGCCACTGGCCTACCTAGTTCACCAGATTGTGGACAGCATATCATGAAATCTACCCTCCATAATAGTGTAATGTACATTAAATGTCCTCCTTTCTTTATCTTGTATTGGTTGTTTTTCTTGAGAACCTAACACAGGTTTTGGTACCAGAAGTGGTTTTAGTGGAACAGAATTGGGGGTCGGGGGGAGATTGGTACCAGAGAGCGAACTCAGGACTTTGCACTTGCCAGGCAAGCACTGTGCCACTGAGCTAAATTCCCAGGCCTGGAACAGAATTTTTATGAGTTTCTTCATTTGGTCTTGGGGTTTCACGAATTTGCTTTATAAACTGATTAGACTTAAAAAAACTAAAGACTATTTTCAACAATAGCAAGAATCCTGAACTGTATAGAGATACAAAGTATTTGATCAGATACTCCTGATCATCTGTTTTAAAAGGCAGCTAACATAGTGACTGAATATGTGGAATATAATGACAGTTGGTACTACTGTCACCAGAGATAAAAGAATGAGCTTGGGAATTTGAATTCCCAATTCAAGCACTTCATAGAAACCTATGAACTTGTAGGTGTGCCCAGCTGAAGAATCTTATTCCTATAGCCACAGGGCTAAAATCATCAAATCAAATACAAGTCCTCATCATGGAAGTGGAGATATCCTGTAATCCTGTTTTAGCCTCAATAAAGGGTCTCAAAATCTTAGGGAAATTGGAATGTTACCATATATAGTATTTGTCATTTAAAAGCCTCAACTCACATGACGAGACATAACTTTCACTGGTAATATTACTTAGAGAAAAATTGATTTCTGAGGGAAGCCAGCATTCCGAAAGAGCTCTATAGTGTAGACTTTATAGTAGGTACCACAACCATTCCATTGCAAAACTTAAATGTAATGGATTCCAGAGCTGTCAGCAGACAGGTCCAAGAAGCCCCTCCCCCAAAGAGGAGACGGGGACCTCAACTTGCCCCTGGCTAGGTTTTTGACTCACTGTCACAGGACAGCACTTCAGGATAAGTTATGAAAGGTATAGACACATTTATTAAGCAGAATCAGTAAGCACATAGACCTGAGATGAGGGTGGGCCTTTTGCAGGCATTCAAAATGTAAGGTGCCCTATGATCTGAGGTTAGGGATATTTATGTAGCCTGGGAATCTGAAGACTTTGCTGGGACAAAATACCCAACACCCACAAATTGAAGGAAGAGATATTTATTTTGGCTCACATTTCAGTCCATAGTCAACTGGCTCCAAGGTAGGACAGCATGGCAGAGGGGCATGGTGAAGATGAAGCTGCTCACTTCAGCACAGCTGGGAAGCAGAGGGAAGGAAGCATTCAGGGAGGGACACCTTACAGGTCACACTCTCAGTGACCCGCCTCTTCTCTCCAAATAACAGCTATAGCACCATGATAATCCAGTCCCCTTCCAATACTCCACCTCTGAACACAGGTTTTGGGAGAGACGTCTAGAAACAAACCATAACACTGATGATCTGAAATATTCATGTCTTATTTATCATTTACAGTACCTAGCATCAGTTTCCTTAAGGTCAAGTTGCTCATCTGTGGGCTAAAGCAAAAATTGGCTTTATCAACTAGGTTAAAATGCAAGCTGTATTTATTTGTTTGAAATTTGGAGAAATGGTATCCAATTAGTACTGTTTGAGAGTGGAAATCTTTGAAATTTACTGATTTGTAGTACTGGAAGAAAAACTCGCTAAATTTTTGGACTTATTGTACCTTCACGCTTAGAAATCTAGGAGTGAGGAGCTGGAAAGAAAAATGGGCCTGGGTGAAAAAGGCATTGTAACCTTGGGTAAATTTGAGTGTGTTTTTGTAACCAAGAAATTAAAATGGATCTTTTTAAATTAGGACTATTTTTTAGAGAGGTGCTGCTCCTCCAGCTTCCTCATGCTAAGAGTATAAACTGCCATCCCCAGCCCTGATGAGGACTCAACACTTGAGGAACAGCCATCTCCTGCTGTTGGATAGCAGAACTCCAGGTTTTTGGGGCTTTCAGACTCTAGGACTTGCATCACCAGCCTCCCAGGTTCTTAGGCACTTGGACTGAGCTATACCACTACCTTCCCTTGTCCTCCAGCTTGCAAACAGAGTACAATGGGACTTCTCAGCCTTCATAATCATATGACCCAATTCCAGCAATAATTCCCCTCTCATACATCTATATATATATTATTGGCTCGGTTTCTTTAAGCCCTGACTGACACAACCTCCAGTTCCATTCTCCTCCCCAAGTCATGAGACCCCTGCATCCACAGTGCTTCCCTTCAGGAACCTTAGTAGGATTAAATAGGTTGCTACGTTTTTTCCTCGTGCGATGCATTGACATATTTCAATTATAGACCAAGTTAAACTATTCATAAAATGCCTCAGTATTTTTATGCAAAAAATGCTCCGATTCTAAAAATCAAGAAACCAAATTTGTTAAATTAAAAATAAATTAAACTTTAACTCTGTTCAAGATTAATTTTCATGATGATAGCCACTGTAGTACAAATTTGAATTAGTATACTTTTTGGTGAAAAAAATATATATATATGTATAAAATCTTGGATATCAATTGAGATTGTCCTCCTTTTGAATGGAAATGTACAAACTATCACAGTAACACCAAAAACAATCAGGGCTCCTATCATCAGCTATGAGGGGTTTGCCATTTTCTAGAATATGAACATTTCCAAAGATTCTTTATTTAAATTTACATGAGAAAGCTATTGGAGTTAGATTTTACCAGAGCTGGGTCAGTAATATTGTCTATGTCGACATCAAAATTATTCAGATCGTGCTCAGTTTTAAAGCCATTTCAGCTGGACAAATAATCAAAATTTCTGTTGTGATTCTTGGGTTTAAAGGCATTTTCATGGAAGAATTTGACAAATCTTTGTTGTTATCAATCATAAAGAAGCACTTGTTTTTATTGAAGCATATTAGTAACAGAATAATGAGATTTATTTTGGTGTATTGGTATGGGCAATAGCATTTTCATTACTTTCCATTTCTGTTACCCCCTCTCCATTTGGTTTGCTGCTTTTGTGCAGAGACACTTATGATTAAATCTGCTTGTGAATCCATAGCATTTGTAGCTAGTAACTACTTATAAAATCCCCAAAATGCAGATTTTATTACTGGGGTCCTATTCCATGTTACAGAACCCTACATGTCTTTCTATGCCAAACAAGTGAAAAAAAAAAAAATAGATTCCTCTTTTCTCTTCATACTTTCTAAGAGCTGTAATTAGGGCCAAGATTCATAGGCACATTGTTCAACAGAGATAGACAAAAGTAGAGTCATAAGGGAAAAAATTTGAGCCCAACCTAAGAAATTCAGCAACTGAGGAAGACTCTGTGTCAAAATTTTTAAAAAAATTAAAAAGGGGCTGGGGATGTGGCTCAGCACAAAAACCTTGAGTTCAATCCCCAGCACCAAAACAAAAAACCGCCCAAAACAACTCAGTGATGAAACAAATACCCTAATAATACAATGAACCAAAGACTTGAAAAGTACTTCACCAAAGATAGATGGAAAATAAGCATATGAAAAGATGCTAAATACCATTAGTCATTAGAGAAATGCAATTGAAAACCAAAATGGTATTATTGTTACACTCGTTTTAGCAAAAAGAATCACTGGGAAAATGTCCAGATTAAGTCTTTTATAGCCAGCGACCAAAAGGCGAGCCCCTGCTCCATAACCTCTTTTTGGTACCAACTAGCTGGGGAGCCCCAGTTTTAAAGGGAAAAACCACACAAGAGAATGTCATAATCTCATCTTTGAGCAAGCACAGGGGTACAGAAGCAGATTACAAGTTAGATTAAAATCCAATATTTGGGATCCAGCAGGAAATTCCTATCTTTATGGTTAGGGCTGCAGTATAACATGTCCTGTCCTTTGTTCTTAACTACAAGACAAGGTATGTCCTGTCCTTTGTTCTTAACCACAAAGTAAGGTAGGTGCTGGTTAACTTATAACTTTGAACAAGCATTCCAGGGAGGAAAAGGAGTAAAGTACAGGCACAGGCTGGGGGGGTGGGGGTGGGGGTTCTGGTTAACTCGCTTACTTCAATATACTCCTACATGTTCATTTAAGAATGGATAAAATTTTTAAAACTGACATTACAACACATCTACAAAAAAGTAGAGCAACCAGAATTCATGTACACTAAGGAATTTAAAGTGTTCTACCATTTTAGAAAACTAGGAGTTTCTTTAAAAAGGAAACACTTATCATATGAACTCGACATTGCTTTACTTGCTACATAAAAAAAATCCATACAAAAACTTGTAAATAAACACTCATAGCAATTTTATTTGTAATAGCCAAAATTATAACCCATAAGTTTTTCAACAAATATATGGATAAACAAACTACAGTATATCCATACAATAAAAAACCATCATCAGCAATTAAAAGGAATATAACACTGATGTATCTCAAGATAATTGTACTGAATGAAAGGAACTAGGTAAAAGTAATACTGTAATTTTCCATTCATATAAGTATCTTGAATATACAAACCAGTATACAACAACAGAAAGCAGATCTGTGGTTTTGGGGAAGGAATAGGGAGGGGATTATAAAAGAACGGTAGATAACTTTTATACATGTTGGACATGTTCATTATTGTACTTATGGTGATGGTTTCTTGAGCATAAAATATCAAAATGAATTAAATTGTGCACTTTAAATATGTAAAAATTATTTTGTTAAGTATTCCTCAAAGTTTTTTTTTTTTTTTAAATACAACTCAGACCTGATTCACCTCAATGCTTAATTGTAGTGAGATGAACAGCTTCTTACTGTCTCTGCATAATAGGGAGCGAGGGAAACTTCTCTCATGGAAGATTAACATATATATAGCATCAATATGTTTTTTGTGTACTATGTCTGCTAAATAATAAGAAATGAGTAGACCTGCAGGATCAATATTGATGATGAGAATAAGAAATATTGACTAATACAGTGGTACCTCGGTTCACAAACTTAATTCTTTCCACAATCCTGGTCACAAACCAAATTTGATCAGAACCATATCAAATTCAGTGGTTAGGTTCAACGTTGCCCTTATGGGGAACTTTGATTCAGT